TAAACTGATATAAATTCATTAAACTTAATCTTTTTGCCTGCCTCGTTAGCCGAGTGGTCGCAAGCGCGACTGCCGGGCAAGGGGTCTCGGGTTCGATTCCCGGGTCGGACAAAGTATTATTGGGTTTTTAAAATCTCAGTAGTAGCACGGAGTCTGGAAATGTGCCCGGTATATGGCAATAGGCTCACCCCCTATTACATGGGACTCATAACATAAACAGTGAAAGTGGGTGTTACATTGTATAGTGGCATTAAGTGCCGTAATGTGCCTATCTCTTCGGGAATAAAAGGTGTGATGTTATATTATGTCATGTTAATCTTTTAAAACATAATTTATTTGAATTTCACATCACTGTGAATACACCTTTATCTGTAAGTTGCACTGATGATTCACTGCATTCTTAACGCGAAAAAACTATCAAAGTCCTCATTATTGTATGTAACATTTCAAGCTAATATTACTTCATTGCAATCAAAACCCAATCATACTTTTCACATAACTAGCGATAATTTGTCATTTTATCCCGCCTCTACCTATCCCTTCAGGGATGAGGCGTGATGTTACATTAACTATTATCTTCCACATAGTTGACTAGCTACTTTTAACAGCTATTAACCGTGTATTCATTAAAGTTAACTTTGTAAGTATAATGATAATATTCGCGTTAAACAAAATGGAGTCTCAAAGATGTGTTTACACTTCTATGAACGTGGTAGGCTTGGCCGTGTATGAGATGAGTTGCGTATTTGTTAAAAGCTATATTTTAAAGTCCAAAAGGAATATTTTAAATTGCAATTTTTTCTTAAAAACAATATGCATCGTCGGTCGATATTATTAACAAACGGTTATTTAAAAAACTGGGAAAAAAGGTCGATAGAACAAAAATCTCACAACCGAAAAACACAAATATATTTTTGTGACATTATAAATTAAAAATAATGTTAAGTTACACACTCTAATAAACACACGGCTAGAAAAATTACAAATAATAAACCTTACCGATTGAAGACGATGAAATAGTATTGGTATATGAAATAGTAATACACCATATTACAAGAACTGTATAGTAACATTAAATAGGTTTTAACACTTGATATTATGCTTATTATATATGGGAAATAATTCCAGTATTATTATTTATTGGTCCTATTTTATTAGGACACCATGATCGTCCAATTAGTTGGGCAACGCAACAAAGCGAAAGATACAATAATAAGCGCTGAGGTACACACGGCCACACATCAATCTATACATAACCAGTTTACCCTGGTGTCGCGTCGCATCATCTTTCCGCACATTTAACGTTCAGTTTATACTGGTTATGTAAAGCTCGATGTCTAGCCGTGTGTACACTCGGTTGCCGACAACAATTTGGTTGCGCCAGAAGTTCATCAGAATGCCTTGATGGAGTTTTTGTTATATTCAATCGCGCTAAAATTAATGATTTTCATAGGATGTAAAATGTAAAAAGTCTCAAACTAGGGACTCATGAAATTGTAAACAAATTCATGTATTGGTAGCGCGACTAATTGTGCAACCATGTTGTCTTAATAAAATATGAGTTTCTAAGTAGACAGGTATTAGCAAAATGGTATTAGAAGAAATCGGGCACGTTGCCTAGTATTCATCAACTTTTATTGGTATAGTAATCAATCATCGTTCAGACTAGCAAAACCAATATTGGAATAAAAACATCGACAAAGTTTTGTACAGGGAATAAATAAAAAAGTTTTAATTCCTAACAGGCCAATTCCGAGTTTTGAAGCATGTTGACTAGGTTGAATTAATCTTAAAATGGAAATGGTTATTTTCGTTTACGTCTCAAATAATAATAATAATAATTGGAAGTCACCGGGGCCGGACGGACTGCACAATTTCTGGATTAAATGGTTCAAGAGTTCACACGTTCGCTTAGCATTACACTTCCAGGCAGCTTTGGAAACTGGGTCGTTACCACAATTTCTAACAACAGGAGTTACCCACCTGCTCCATAAATCAGGTAGTTCCACTGAGCCCAAAAATTATAGACCAATCACATGTTTACCAACGGTCTATAAACTTCTTACATCCATTTTGAGGTCAAAAATAACAAAACATATTGAACAAAATTCCATCATGTCTGTATCTCAAAATGGATGTAGGGAGGGGTCTCGTGGAACTAAGGAGCTACTCCTCATTGATATGGTTGTTAGCCAACAGGTTCGTCGGTCCCGAAAAGATTTGTCCACATGCTGGATAGACTATAAAAAAGCATATGATTCTGTGCCACATACATGGCTCCTGAAGGTGCTGGAGTTGTATAAAATACATGCAAGTTTACGCGCCTTCTTGGAGTCATGTATGAGGCAGTGGAGCACCGTGCTTTGCTATCCGGGATGTAGACAAATCCAAGGGAATGAAGAACCTGTAAGGATAGTACGAGGAATATTCCAGGGTGACAGCCTGAGCCCACTATGGTTCTGCTTGGCCTTGAATCCTCTAAGTACTCTACTGGAGGATTCAGGGCTAGGCTATCCTTTGCGGAGAAGGGGTCTAGTTATATCCCACTTACTTTACATGGATGACCTCAAGTTGTTTGCTCCAAACAAGAAACAACTGATGGAACTACTGAATATAACTGAAAAATTTAGTAGTTCCATCAGAATGGAGTTTGGAGTAGACAAGTGTGCGGTCATGCATGTAAAGCGAGGAGGGATTGTGGAATCTGAGGGACTAGAACTCTCAGATTTCACAAAACTGAGATCACTCTCCGCAAACGATACATACAAGTACCTGGGTATGTCAGAAGGATTAGGCATTAATGGACCGGACATGAAGCAATCGTTACAGGAGCGCTTCTTTGGCCGCCTGAATAAGGTACTGAAAAGTTCCTTATCAGGCGGAAACAAGGTGCGAGCCTTTAACGGTTGGGTCATGCCAGTCCTAATGTATTCTTTTGGTATACTCAAGTGGACACAGACTGAACTTGACACCCTGGATAGACGAGTCCGGACCCTGCTGACTGCAAATCGCATGCATCACCCTCGTTCGTCGGTCATGAGGTTGTACATCCCGCGGAAGTGTGGTGGTCGAGGCTTATTAAATGCTAAGACCCTTCACAACCGTGAGGTGTGCAGCCTCAGGGAATATTTCCTGAAAGTCAACGAGGGTATGCATCGAGAAGTAGCAGCGGTGGACAATGGATTCACTCCGCTATCCTTGGCAAAAGAGAACTGGCGCAAACCTGTGGTACTGAGCGTCAATGATCGCAAGGAGGTATGGCATAGCAAGGAGCTCCACGGACGCTTCTTCCGGGCCCTTCATGGGCCCAGTGTAGATTTTCTAGCGTCCGTGTCTTGGCTACGATTCAGTAATCTCTTTGGAGAAACTGAAGGATTTGTCTGTGCAATTATGGACGAAGTTATCCTTACGAATAACTACCGGAAATATATAATTAAGGATGGGACGGTTGACATATGTCGGGCATGTCATAGTCCTGGTGAATCCATTAGACATATTATTTCTGGTTGTGGTCGTTTGGCTAACAGTGAATATTTGCATAGGCATAATCAAGTAGCCAAGATTATCCATCAGCAACTTGCTTTGCACTATCGACTTGTTGAGTCTGAGGTACCGTACTACAAGTATGTGCCCGACCCAGTTCTGGAAAATGACCATATCACGTTGTACTGGGACCGGTCTATCATCACTGACAGGACTATTATAGCCAACAAACCTGATATAGTGGTGATAGACCGACAACTGCGCCGCACGATGATAATCGATATCACTATTCCTCATGATGAGAACCTCGTGAAAGCTGAAAAAGATAAACAAATCAAATATCTTGATTTGGCTCACGAGGTTGTCGACATGTGGAATGTAGATTCGGCTATCATTGTGCCGATAGTCGTATCGGCCAATGGGTTAATCCCTAATAGCCTCGACAACCACCTTAGGAGGCTAGCGTTAGGTAGTTTGGTCAAGGGCCTGATACAGAAGGCAGTGCTCCTTGAAACGGCACGTATCGTGAGGAGGTTTCTGTCTCTGGAGCCCTAACCACCGGTAGCTTGGACCATGCTCCCGCTACTGGTCGGCTCCTATTTTTTATATTTTTAAATATTATTTTTATGTTTTTGTAAATAGTATTTAAAAATGTATTTTATAGAGAATTTAAAATAAATATATGGAAATAATAATGCTTAAAACTTTCTTTCGTACATACTTAAAACCATTAATTTTAAGCAAAAAGAGTCTTATCCACAGTGATAATAAGGTAAGTATTTGTAGACATCTATTAAATCGTTGGTTCAATATGTTGTGTAACACACACAATATAAATAAGTAAAAATTAATACAAGTCCAAAAAACTCAGTTCCAAAAAGCAAAATGTACAAAATTATTCGTTGTAAAAAAGTCTTAAACATTGACGCTATTAGGCAGTGAATTGTTTGGCACAAATTGGAAGTGTACTGTATCGGTATGTGGTAGGTATCCAGGTTCAGGACTTGTGGTTGTAAAATATCCTAGGGTTTTCTTTGTCATTAAACAAAACTACAAAATTGATGTTTTACATCAAAATGTTCATAATTTTACATTAAAATAAACGACTGATGATATCTTAATAATTTAGAAGCATTATATATAAAGATATCCACTTCATATCAATATCGATGGAGGCGCTAGTATCGTTAATGGTTAACCAATAATATTGACCGTGAATTTGATAGGTCTTTAAGCGACAGTGGCGCCACGAAAAGTAACTCTCATTACAAAAACAAGCCTAGAAAATCTTAAGGTGAAGAAAAATGTCATACATGGGTTTTGAGTTGTGACGTCATTCAAGAATCTCTTACACATGGTTACTTTTTAATACCTAACGATACAGGTCATAGATAGAAATCACCCAGTATAAAAAGTGACCATGTTGCAGTTCCTAACTGTATGAGCCATTATAGCTAAGTTCCCGTGGCTTACGATATGGTAGATGTCACCGAGCTGGCCAGCAAGGTGGCTGCGCGCTAGCTATGTTCATGATGTGTACGGGGAGACAAGGAGCCAGGGCCGGACTCTGCACTCGAGTCGCCCGCGTATACTTCGGACAAGCCGCCACCGCTGCCGCAACCGCCGCCGCTCCCGCTCCCGCCACCGCTCCCGCCTGCACCAAGCATACTTGCTGACAGTGCACCTTTGGCTAAGGATAAAATATACATATTTATAACAGTCAGCTACGCATTTAGAACACGTGTTTAAGACAACATTTTTTGAAGATAGGTATATTACTTAAGATACGAAATGAATAACAAATGTGTGGAATTTATATTTAAAAAAAAATTGGTTAGACCTTTGCTAAGCAATTCATTGCTTGTGTTGATAATTATAACGATGATGAATAATGCTTTTTAAAACAAAATTCTGACCATGTATACCCAATCTTTACTACTAATTTGTTTACATTTTAATTTGTAAGTTACCAAAGGTTCCATGTAAAATTGTAGCAGGAAAATACCAGATAATATGAAGATCTATAGTAGGTACATTCCAACACCTACGTAAGATCTAAAGAATGTTTTATAAGGAAAGGTGTACAATAGATACATTCGTAATCCTTTCCCGAGTTCCGCGAAGGTAACATTGAATTTTTCACGTAATCTCTTTGTCACATCAGCTATGCGGTTGTTACTCTTATACTATTTGTATCTAAGAACTGCGAAGTCAGAGATCTCAGGTTTGATCTCAAAGCTTTTCTTACTTTTTATAAAGTAAGATTGAATTTTTCGTTTTCTGTAACACAGACTTGCTGCTTAATATCTTACTGGGTTGATTCAGTGATGAAAGAAAAGAAAAATTGACAGTATTTAATAAAGATGGCTACCACTTGAAACAAAGATCACTTAGGTGACCATTTAAAAACCATGGTGTTTGTCTCGTTCTTCAGAGGAATCTACATATTAGAACAGTGACATATCATTACTAAAGGACTGAGAGATATACTTTTATTATTCAATCTTCAAAATGAGCTTTTTGATGTAGACAGACTAAAACAGTCTTTATATCACCAACTGGTAAGAGATAATGCCTACGATTAAGCATAATACCCATACCTATAAGCCCAACCCATTCACTCAGGACTTAAAGACATTCTAGGTTGTACCCTTCAGAAAACAGACATCGACAAAGAGTTCCACTCTGATACTATTCGCACAAGGAAATTCTATATCGATGTTTGAACTTACCGTGATGAGCCAGTGGCACGCAGTATGACGTCGGTGCGCAGTGGCGCGGTCGCACCTTCTCATAGCGACTCAGCTGCTGCAGCTCGCACTCCGAGTGGTGCTTCTCCACTGTTACACATACCAAACTATTCAACAGATAATATTCATTCACTATCATTCTATTGTCATCTACAACACAGACACAACACACAGATGAGGGCGATCTGAAAAAAAAATTGATGACTGATGATATTCACATGAATTTGAACCTTAACGTTGAAACCTAAAGGAGATTTAACATGAATTCTTTAACTGTGGTTGGTTATGTTGATGACTGATGATATTCGCACGAATTTGAATCTTAAAGTTGAGGTTTTAAAGGAGATTTACCGAGGAAATCTTCAATTGTGTTGGGTGATTCTAAGCTGCGTACCACTAAACACGGATTAAAGTGCTTAACTATGTCAAAACCATACGAAGACGGTCGCCTCAAAGGTAAATGGATTTAGTTTTGGGGTGGTTTCTCTGTGCGAAATCCGAAACATTCGCATCTCTTTCGTTGACAACTATTCCCCAAAAGCAATAAATACTTTTCAATGTTCAAGTAAACATTCATTTACAAAGTTTAATCAAATATATTGTACCTAGTTACACGTAAGTGCCTATTAACAAAGGTTAAATTTTATCCTATTTATTTTACTCGGCAGATTAACTCTAGCAGAATTTAATCAAGCATATAAATTCAAGTACTTCAAGTACATTTCGACTATTTAAAAGAAATTAGGTTTTTACATAAAATTGCGAATTACAGAGAAACACGAAATACGTACCTAAGTAAATAAAGTAATTCGCAAATCAGAACTATAAAATACGTTTATCTACAAAACTATTTTCTCTCCAGTTATACGTTTAATTTTATTAACTGACTTCTGAAAATGGAGGTTTTTATCGTTGCTTTTTTCTTTGTGTGTATGTTCCGAGAATACTCTCTGTGCACGGATATAAATGAATTTCTTTTTATATTTGTTTCTTTCTGACAAAATGTATGCGTAATCTGAAAGCGACCGCATAGTAATTTCACGATGATTTGTGACACATAAAATGGCCTTTTAACCGCTATCAGTCAAAATAAAAAGCGTGCCTTTAACTCCAGCTCTGAATTTGAATTCTTGTGAGGTGCAAATTCTTCTGTTGTTAACATAATAAATAAAAAATCTATAGAATAAATTATAAGAATCAAAGTAAATAAAGAAGACAATGTCTTTTACATCATTTTAAATCAGTAGTATCTTCTTAACATGACTGTAGAGGTTAAAAGATCAAATAAGAATTGAGTAAGCATTGAATTTTGTTTATCTATTGTTAGTTATACGATTAATGACAGTAGTTTTCTCTTTGTCTCACCTTCAGCTCTCTCCCGGTGCCTTTGTGGGTGTTTCCTGCATGGTCGATGTGGTGGGGCGTCATTGTCCCGGTGGCCGAAAGTTCGGAACTGCAACGTGTGGTCCAAAGTTGCGGCCGTGGCTGCCTCGCCCCCCACAGCAAATGTGGCGTATGGACTTATCTCGTACACATCTTTTGTGAAACATAATATTCCATGTCAAAAGGAATGGCAAATGCAGAAGTGCAGTTTATAGAGATTTTTTTATGGCATAAGCCGGTAAAGGAGCAGACGGATCACCTGATGGTAAGCAATCGGCGCCGCCCATGGACATTTGGAACACCAGAGGCGTTACAAGTGCGTTACCGGCGTTTTGGGGATTAGGAGTTTGAGGATCGTTGAGGATTCAGGGATTGGGGAGATTGGGGAAAGGGGAGGGTAATTGGGCCTCCGGTAACCTCACTCACACGACGAAACACAACGCAAGCGTTGCTTCATGTCGGTTTTCTGTGAGGTCGTGGGATCACTCCGGTCGAGCCGGCCCATTCGTGCCGAAGAATGGCTCTCCCATACTTTTTTGAAAAAAACTGAAAATCTTTTATTTGGATTCGAACCCGAGACTTGAGGCTGGAGACAGGGAGTAGCACTTGCAACAAAATTGATATATTAACAATTTTGGTAGTGTTTAAATAAATGTTATTTGCATGTTTCTGCCATTAAATGATTCATTCAATTTAACCCATTTGGGACCAAATGCAAACTACACATAATTTAATAAAAAAAACTTTATTAACTCAATGATATGACGCCCACAAACTAATACCAGCAAAAAAAATTCAATAAATATATTTAGAAATATTAAAAAAAATGCCGTCCTTGATTGGGGACAACGGTCTCATGTGTAGTACTTTTCAAAGTAGTAACTGTTTTCGACACATAAGGTTCTAACGCATTATTTGCATTGATATCACAGTTTTTTTATGACGAACTGCGTGTCGCAATAGATATTAACTAAATCTCTGCGGAAAATGTCTAAATCGATTTGATGTGACGCGACGATATTTTTTTTGAAGGTAAAAATCATGCATTTCGTTTTCCACCTGGGGGACTCTTACTGGCTAAAAAGCAACACGTTCCTAATTCTGCTTCAAGCCGAAGCCCCGGTGACCCATTAGGTTATTCATAGTAGTCGGGCATCTGTCCCACTGAGCCATCTCGATCTAAGGCGGTCTGATCTGCACTTTGAAGCACGCGCGTAACGCCACGCGCCTTACAGGTACAGGTCTGGTTCTGGGCGGCGATCTGTTCTTGCTACTATGACTGCTTCGCAGAAAGAGATGGTTTCCAGTTCCCCTCGCTCCGCACCACAGCCAGAACCTAAGCTGGACGTGGAAGATTATCGTCGTCGATCACTTCCCTGAAGACACGGCGGTGGTCAACGTATACAGGGCATAATGCTACTCTATCCTCTGGGTGGACTTCGCTGTGACGACACCAGAATACAGCTGGAGGAAATGCCCCCTACTGCTGAATTCTGATATCGGATGCGACGCCTGGTACTGTAGGTGGACTTTTGCATCTTCGGTCTTGATGCCCATCTGATTTTAGAATATGAACGCGTAAAGATATGGCGGAATTGATGATGCTCTTCGTGAATTAGCGTCTGTTGTCACCAAGTATTAGCTATAACTAAGTTTAGCCTATAGGTGACCTTTATAAATTGGAAAACAAAATACAAATCAGGTATAAATGTTTTAAAAATATACTACAGATGTGCCCATTGTCCCCATACGGGGACACCATCATTTTTTCTAACTTTCCCCTAAGCAGAATTGAAAGTATAAGGATATTCTTCAATGTTGTTTTAATTGACACTATAAGCAAGCAATAATCACAAAAAAGTTTTATAAATCTTCATAATAACGTACTACAAAACGCCTCTGCTTTTGATAATAATTCCCATTTCACTTCCTCTTGATAAAATTGACAATATGACCCCTTTTTTGTAGCAATTTGTCAAAAGTTTTAATAATTTTAGGAAAGTACACTACTCCTCATTATAAATACCTATGAAATGTGAAGATATCTAAAATAATTAATAACCAGCGGGTAAAAGAAGACCTGTCCCTGTATGGGGACGGCGGATCCAAATGGGTTAAACAGTAGCTGAGCCTAATAATATTCATAATATCATCACAAAGCATTGAGTTTCTGATAGATTACTCTCCATTATTCCAGTTAGTAATAATTTAATGCACGTAAACCCATCAACGGTCGAAATTACTCTTATTTGTATCAAAACAATGCTGTCATTATCCATTTAACATTCAATATTATTTGAAATTTCATTTCATTTAGAATGTTTCAATATTATTTGAAATATCAAAAACGAAACAAACGTATGACAGGTACTTCTAGCCTGATCACCTGATTGGCTAGCGATAAACACCGCCCATGGACACTAGAGAAATCTTAAGTGTGTTACTGGCCTTAAAAAAGAAGCGCTCTCTTCTTGAAGTCAGAAGGTTGGAGATACTTACCAGAAGCAGGTGACAGTTTGTCATGTTTGTAATCATGTTGGCAGTTCCTGATGTTCTGCTGTTCTGGGCAGACTGACTTGTCAGTGCTGGCTACTGAGTGACTACAGCGCCTGGTCTCTTCATCTGCGACACCTCCACAAGGCCATAGCGTGCTAAGAAGAGAAGAGAAATAGGTTAAAATATAGGCTCAGTTTTAAGTTCATCGGCAATTTTTTTTTTATTTTGGAATTGGAGTGAAACTAATCGACGTATCTTACCTGATGGTAAGCAAATGGATACATGACAGATTAATAATTTGTGGACTGTATTGTAAAACGATAAGGTTGAAAATTTACATCATTAAAGATACTGTTGATTTTATGTCATCTATTTTTGAAAGCGTTAAGTAAAAGTTTTCTTATTAAATTGTCCCTTTTTTTGGTACACCAAATGAAACGTAAATGTGTTCTTGGCCAATTATAATTCAATTTAAATTAATGAAACTTAATACATAAATATGCAGGCAGGCGAACTTAAATTACAAAGGCATTATCGACAATTACCTAATTATGTTATGTCAGGTACAAATAAATATCCCCCATAAGAACCTATAAGACAATGTGACACAAAGAAAAGGTTATATAATTATGTACTACCTATGTAACAACAACATGGTAACAGAAACTATAGGTCCTTATAAATTAGACGTAACAAAAACCACAAATATTAAAAAGAAACGCAACATTTTCGCCAATTTACATCGGATTAAAGTACAATTTCGTTATAATACCAAGAAATAAGGAAATTATTTGAGCAGTTCGTGCCTGTACCCAAAGCGAAGTCTTCAATTGTAAGTGGGTCGCGCTGAGTGATTTACACAAGCCCCGTGTTCCCAATACGTCTACATTTATCTTATTTAATATTATGTATTTATACAGGATTCAAGAAATAGGCCCTTCTCACAATACTATAGGACTGTAGGTACATCGACTACTTCGAATTTATTGGGGAAAACAAAGAAAAACCCGATCAAAGTTTAACAATATGATAATACATCTGTTTTTCATCCCCATTTTGATTTTATTTTTAGTGATAAATGTATTTTTAATTTTAGAATTGTACAATAGTAGGCGAATAGACTTCCTGATTTTAAGTAGGTATGTATGTACGTACATTATGGTTCATCTAAATCTTTAGCGCTTTCACGAGTCGGGATTTAATATCTATATATATAAAAGAAAGTTGAGTTAGTTACACTACTTATAACTCAAGAACGGCTACATCGATTTAGATCACAATTGGTGGGGAGGTAGATTAGAACCAGGAGACGGACATAGGATACTTTTTTATTGAACTTTTTTTTTACTTTTCACTGAAAATCACGAACGGGGACGGGTAAGAACGGGATTGCGCGTACGAAGTCGCGGGCAGAAGCTAGTTGATTATAAGAGACGAATATGATTAAATAAAATTAAGTCTAAATTATTATGTTTTCGGCTTACTCACGTAATAATTTGAACTCACTCACTGCTGTGAGTAGCAGCGCGACAGTCGCCACGTCGCGGTCGCGCAATGCTGCTCATGAATATGAACCTCTAACATGGCTTGAAACTAGTCGAGTTACTCGTCAAATTATTACGTGAGTAAGCCGAGAATATAACATTTTACTCACAAAAGTCACAATATAAAACCTAAGTCTGTTTTTGTTCTCCATGACTTCAATCATCATAATCTTCTGTGCCTGTAAAAGAAGATTCTTTCGTCCACCGGCAAAAGGAAACAAACGAACTTAAAACCAGTCACGTCTCACACATCTGCACAGGATAAAATGAATCGGAATCTTTCGTAGAATTGACAAAAGATCCTATAAAATAAAACGTAGAAAACCTTAGTCTAGGCAGGTTATAAACCACCCAAAAGCAGATCGCACACTATATTTTATATAACACATAATATTTTTGTGGCCGACCATTTTTTTTCGCAGAACAATTCGTGATTTTCACGCGCCAAAGATTGGTATCGGGAGGTCAAGGGACCATTCCCCTATCATCGGTGCGTACATTACATATATTGACATTTCTAGCTATGTTTCATATAAAACCTTTATGATATTCTATATCAGAAAGACTATATTTTTATTCAGATCTGAATTTATTTACAGATGAAATTCTATTTTTTTTTTCAGACTCCGTGCTTATACGGAGATTTTTAAAAATCCAGTAATACTTTGGCCGACCCGGGAATCGAACCGCGACCACTCGGCCAACGATGCAGTCTGGAAATGTACCCGGTATATGGCAATAGGCTCACCCCCTATTACATGGGACTCATAACTAAATAGTAAAAAGTGGGTGTTACATTGTACCGTGGCATTAAGTGCCGTAATGTGCACTTCTGCCTACCCCTTCAGGGATAAAAGGCGTGATGTTATGTTATGTTCTGAAATTCTATAAATGATTTTTTGTTTTGTTAAAACAAGAATAATTATCATATTATTATTTATAATTAAGAAATTTATATTAATACATATTATAATAAATTAGAGGGAAAATGTTAATGTTTAAAATGAAAATAATACATTTTATGCGATAATACAATAAGTAAATTAATTAGATTATATTCTGCTTTCATTATTATGTTGCTGTACTCTAACCGGGTTTCATGTTGAAACTGTCCTTATACCCAATTATGTAATACATATTGTACACATAAATGATGCGATAAACATTTGAATTTAGAATTTTAGAATAGATGCTTGTAATCTTCCTATAAACTGTACTTTTTAGAATAAGCAACTAATTAAACTTTAGGACCAACGGATTCACATATTTTTATTGTATTGTTACTTTTGCCGAAATATTAAGTTAAGCTGTTTAAAAAATTGAAGACAGTGTTTAGTAATTTACGAACAAGGAAGATTTGTACTTTTTATTTTGAAGATTTGAACTGATCGATTGGATCAGGCTGATTTCATTTAACATCAATCATACAATCTTTGTATGAGGTAATATACGTCTCATAATACGTTACTACCTTATAATAAATACAAACAATAATCTAGTCTATATCTATATGTATTTATGACTTAAAATTAAAGTAAAAGGATCTTACCTTCGTTTCGCCACCAATACCAGTAGCAGTGCAGTGACAGCGAGACCGGCGAGTGCAGCAAATGCCAGAGACACAGCTCCCAGCACCCGCTCCGTATCAGCATTGTTGTTTGACGTCACGATCTGACCACCTTCTGATTGGAAGGCTACAGGACGACGCAGACGCTCTGTTCGAAAAAGGAATAATAAAATTAACATAACATAACATAACATCACGCCTTTTATCCCCGAAGGGGTAGGCAGAGATGCACATTATGCCACTGTACAATGTAACACCCACTTTTCACTATTTATGTTATGAGTCCCATGTAATAGGGGGTGAGCTTATTGCCATATACCGGGCACAATTCCAGACTCCGTGCTACTACTGAGAATTTTAAAACCCCAGTAATACTTTGCCCGACCCGGCAGTCGTACTTGCGACCACTCGGCCAACGAGGCAGAGTAATAAAATTAAATACATTTGAAATTCGAAAATGTTATAAGCCGAGGGTGACTGTCAATGTAAAGATATCGCATGTCATTATCCCATTAAAATGAACTGTTGTTCGTTAGTCTCGCTAAAACTCGAGAACGGCTGAACCGATTTGGCTAATTTTAGTCTCGAAATGTCCGTGGAAGTCCACGGAAGGTTTAAAAGGTGAGAAAAAAATTGTAGGCGGTTCGAAGTTGGCAGGATCATCTAGTGAAATATAATATTGTTTTTTTAGTGAATATTACAATGGGGACATAGTTACATTAATTATGGTTTTTTTTAAAGGGACGGGACCACTCCAATCTCCCAATACCGCTGCAACTCCTGTAAGCCAGGATTTACAGTAGATGCAACCATGAAAACACCGGAACACTGAAGTCCGGCGCGTCCCAGGGACATGAGTAACTGTCTTGATTCCCGCAACGAAGTGAATCAGAAGATATTATAAGAGAAGAAAAAATAAATATGGTTAAAATATAATAGACACTCAATTTCTTTTGAAGTTTATTAAATTGATATGTAATGTGATTTCAATGAAGAAGTTTATTAGGCTGGACCCAATAGTAACTCCAGCCTCCCGTATAAGCTCGAAACAATTATTTACCAAATTGTGCCCTGTGTATGGCTATAGACTCACCCCCTATTACATGGAATTCATAACATAAATAGTGAAAAGTGGGTGTTACATTATAAAGTGGCATAATGTGCACATCTGCCAACCCCTTCGAGGATATTTTTTTTTATTTAAACATTTTTGCACAATGGCTATACAATGGCGGAATTAATGCCTAGTAGCATTCTCTAACAGTTAACCTTAATGATGTCATGTCCTTATCACACCTCATTTCCTACCAACAAGCACACAACGCCTAATTCTTTTCAACAAGCGAAAAACATGTAACACAAACTACAACCTTCACCCACAGTTATAAGGTTACATTTTCAAGTAAATGTTTTGCTATATCGTTCCGTACATGGCAATAATTTTCAAGCACGCAACATATAACAGTTGTAATAGTAAAGGCTAGTGATAGATGATAGGCCTTTAAGGAACCTGTGTGGTGCCCCAGTTGACTGGTACAAATGGACATGAATCTACACAGAAATACACATTTTTCTAGAAAAAGGGGAAATGTTTGGGAGTTGTTTGTATGAGAGGATTGATTAGACGCTATAAAGAAATCTGTTAACATTTTTTTCTGGGACGTTTTGTCATGTATTTTTTTGTGTTTGGTCTCAATCTTCGTCTGTGTTTGGAAATACACGGATGGGTACATGTAGTGATTTTACACTTGCAATGAATTTGGATCAGTTCCCTGAAAACATAGTAACGAGGCTATTGATAGGGAGAGCCCAGCAACTGAGCACACGCAAATTCGGCTAAGTACAAATTGTATGATGTACTGAATACAAAACATATTATATCTCAAACCATATTCATTACATTAGTTACATTTACTGAGGGCCAAGCACGAATAACTATCGCATTCGTATCGTAACAGTATCGAGCGAGTTAAGCGTTCTGATTGGTTGGTACACTTGAGCCGGCCAATCAGAGCGCCGAACGCGGTCGATACTATTACGTTACGAAAGCGATAGTTATTCGTGCTTGGTACTCAGTACTTGTAAATTGATACCTACATACATAACCTTACGCTTGTCTCCCAAGGAGGTAAGCAGAGACTATGGGACGCCAAATCCAATTTATTTTATTTTTATAAAATTTTCAGTATTTGAAACATTCGTAAAAATAATAATATCAAAAAAGAATTAAAAAAAAAATCCTATCATCACAAATATGATTTACAATAACATTTTGCAGATTATAATCACAATCTTACTAATATTATAAATCTGAAAGTGAGTTTGTTTGTTTGTTTGTTTGTTCCACCTTCACGCCGTAACTACTGAACCGATAGCTTTGAATTTTTGCAGACGTAAAGTTAGAAGTCCGGATTAAATAATAGGGTACTTTTTAACCCGGAAAAATTGATATTCCCGAGGGAAAACAAAAGTATTGGTATAGATGGCGCTGTATGTATTGGTATATGTCACATAGGCTACTTTTTATCCTTTTGTGACGCGAGCGAAGCCGCGGGTAAAAGCTAGTGTGTTATATAAGGTAGGACACTCGTCATTAGCGCGGCTGTCTACCTGTCATAGTCTAGTGTGTACACGTCGTGCGCCCTGCACATTGTTGTAATAAATCTTAGTAAAATAAATCCGTCTATAATTAATCCACCAACATAACAGCGGGGAATACATTGACTTTATGGTAGTGATTTCATATTAAATGATGATAATTTATAGTTTTTTATATTAACCGATAACATAACATAACATCACGCCTTTTATCCCCGAAGGGGTAGGCAGAGGTGCACATTATGCCGCTGTACAATGTAACACCCACTTTTCACTATTTATGTTATGAGTCCCAAGTAATAGGGGGTGAGCCTATTGCCATATACCGAGCACAACTCCAGACTCCGTGCTACTACTGAGATTAAAAAAAAACCCAGTAATACTTTGCCCGACCCGGGAATCGAACCCGAGACCCCTTGGCACTTACGACCACTCGGCCAGCGAGGAATCCCGTAACACTTTCACAAAATAAGATAGTGAACTTATTTTTTTTATTAGTTATAAAAAAGGAGTCGCATATTCCTCGCAGTGGGTGTGTAATACCTAAACACGTGGACCTGGTGTTGGTACACGTGTTTATAGTAGGTATCACTTTATCATTGGTTTACTTATTCCTGAGAATCGTTCGGCTCGATGGACTCCTATGGTACTACATAGTATCAACATCGAGCTCCTCGAGTACACAGGCGGAGTGATAGCTAAGAAAGCGTACACTAATATAAATGCCGGGTGGCAGTGGACTTAGAGTAGCTCCACTAAACTACGTCCCTGCGAAGAAACGGACTCCCTACAGCTTTTACATCGTCGCCGTAGTGTAAGCAGCGAGCGCCGAAAACTTTAATAGCGCGATTTAGGATAGCCTAGTAGTTAAACCCATGGGGTATTGACTCAGGTAGTTAGTTGTTGTTGACGTCATTATTGAACACAATAGCGGTCAGTGCGACAATGCGACTGCTTTGTAACCGAGTTCAAAAGAAAAAGATATAAAGGTAGTTCTCGGTTTGACCTGTATGTACAATGTACTTATGTTTATTTTGATGCGGTTTTCAGAAAAGTGTTTGTTATAAAAACAAGATCTTCTAGGAGTCTACAAATGATAGAGAATCCAATACATACCTATACTGTTGGTCCTGTACCCAATAGCATGGACGCAGAGCAATGTCCTTTAAAAAGTTTCATACATACATACATTACATAACGCGTTTTATCCCCGAAGGGATAGGCAAAGGTTCACATTACAGGACTTAATGCTACTGTACAATGTAACACCCACTTTTCACTATGTGTAATCCACGAAAAAGTACACCCTGTGCCAGTCTTTTGACTCTTGTTGCTACAATTCTTTGTTTTGTCGCCTGTGTTTTTGCTTACGTTATCTTAAATAGGGCTCTATAGTCAGAATTTTAATTAGATTCCAGATTTGACAATAGCTACTGTCATTTTGTGAAATAACGATACCACATAATAATAGTGTAGTGATGCACACAAAAATCGATAAACAATTAGTGTGTGTGTTTTTTAATAAATGTACAAAAAGTGACAGTGATAGCGATAGCGATGACAGCGACAATTCATAAAATAACTTATTACCATAATAGTCTGTTTTATTTGTCATGTTCCTTCATAATTACATTTTTTTATTTATTTCACGAACAATTATAAAAGAAAAGTCTCAGATCGTTAATTAATCGTCAAAACTAAATTATCGGTTCAGAAATATTTAATTTGCTGATATACTTAGTGTACGAGAGTAAAATTATAAACGAGAATAATCAATCCAGAAATATTGCATTTCCATATCGAATAATTTCGCAACGTCACTATTTAGTACTTGTCATAACGTTGCAACACTGAAATTGTCAAATCTGGAATCGAATTAAAATTCCGAGTATAGTATTATGGATTATATTATTATTTTTAGCCAACTGCTTTAGTTTGGATAAGAATGTCGTATATTTTCAATGTACATTTGCATTAACAGTTTTATTGTATGTGTAGATATAGATTATGTCATTTATTGAAGAGCTTCTTATACTCCAAGTAAAAAAAACCTTTAGGCCACCATCCCGTAACACTTCCACAAAATAAGTTAGTGAACTTAATGTTTTTATTAATTAATAAAAAAGGAGTCGCATATTCCTCGCAGTGGGTGTGTAATACCTAAAAACGTGGACCTGGTGTTGGTACACGTGTTTATAGTAGGTATTACTTTATTCATTGGTTTACTTATTCCTGAGAATCGTTCGGCTTGATGGACTCCTATGGTACTACATAGTATCAACATCGAGCTCCTCGAGTACACAGGCGGAGTGATAGCTAGAAAGTTAGCGTACACTAATATAAATGCCGGGTGGCAGTGGACTTAGAGTAGCTCCACTAAACTACGTCCCTGCGAAGAAACGGACTCCCTACCGCTACTACATCGTCGCCGTAGTGTAAGCAGCGAGCGCCGAAAACTTTAATAGCGCGATTTAGGATAGCCTAGTAGTTAAACCCATGGGGTATTGACTCAGGTAGTTAGTTGTTGTTGACGTCATTATTGAACACAATAGCGGTCAGTGCGACAATGCGACTGCTTTGTAACCGAGTTCAAAAGAAAAAGAAATAAAGGTAGTTCTCGTTTTGACCTGTATGTAGTAGGTACTTATGTTTATTTTGGTGCGGTTTTCAGAAAAGTGTTTGTTATAAAAAAAAGATATTCTAGGAGTCTACAAATGATAGAGAATCCAATACATATACTGTTGGTCCTGTACCCAATAGTATGGACGCAGAGCAATGTCCTTTAAAAAGTTTTATACATACATTACATCACGTGTTTTATCCCCGAAGGGATAGACAGAGGTGCACATTACAGGACTTAATGCTACTGTACAATGTAACACCCACTTTTCACTATGTGTAATCCACGAAAAAGTACACCCTGTGCCAGTCTTTTGACTCTTGCTGCTACAATTCTTTGTTTTGTCGCCTGTGTTTTTGTTTACGTTATCTTGAACAGCGCTCTAGTATTATGGAATTATAATTTTTTGCCAACTGCTTTAGTTTGGATAACAATGTCGTATATTTCCAATGTACATTTACATTAACAGTTTCATTGTATGTATAGATATAGATTATGTCATTTATTGAAGAGCGTCTTATACTCCAAGTCAAAAAAATCCTTTAGGCCACCATTCCGTAACACTTCCACAAAATAAGTTCGTGAACTTAATTTTATTATTAATTAATAAAAAAAGGAGTCGCATATTCCTCGCAGTGGGTGTGTAATACCCAAACTCGTGGACCTGGTGTTGGTACACGTGTTTATAGTAGGTATCACTTTATTCATTGGTTTACTTATTCCTGAGAATCGTTCGGCTCGATGGACTCCTATGGTACTACATAGTATCAACATCGAGCTCCTCGAGTACACAGGCGGAGTGATAGCTAAGAAAGCGTACACTAATATAAATGCCGGGTGGCAGTGGACTTAGAGTAGCTCCACTAAACTACGTCCCTGCGAAGAAACGGACTCCCTACAGCTTCTACATCGTCGCCGTAGTGTAAGCAGCGAGCGCCGAAAACTTTAATAGCGCGATTTAGGATAGCCTAGTAGTTAAACCCATTGGATATTAAACGATCATTACTCAGTTTTCCCGCAACTTCAAATATCTTAATTTGGGGACGTAAAAGTTTCATTACAATTGTAAAACATTGTCTTTAAGTACGCCATACACATAAGAGTCACAAAAATTTAAGGCATATACCAACTTATTTTGAAGCTAGATGAATATTAAAATCGCTCAAAACTCTAGGCTCTAAACGTAATGCAGACGTCTATTTAATGGCGCTATAACACTGAGTTTGTGTCTCCGGCAGTTATATTGTACTAGCTTTTACCCGCGGCTTCGCTCGCGTCACAAAACGATAAAAAGTAGCCTATGTGACATATACACAGCGCCATCTATACCAATACTTTTGTTTTTCCTCGGGAATAACATTTTTTTCCGGAATAAAAAGTACCCTATTATTTAATCCGGACTTCTAACTTTACGTCTGCAAAAATTCAAAGCAATCGGTTAAGTAGTTACGGCGTGAAAGCGGAACAAACAAACTCACTTTCCGATTTATAATATTAGTAAGGATTATAATTATCTATGTAGTTATTTATGTACATATTTTGTATTTATTATATATTTTTATACAGTATTTATAATTACTATTAGTTATTTATTTAGTTTTACTGCATATTAAACAAGTTTATTTTCGCTGACTCTCTATTTAACCCAAAGGTTGACTAGAAAATGCCATATGGCATTAAGTCCGCCTTATGTACCTTATTTTTGTGTGCATTAAAGAGTTATATATAATAAGTAAATAAATATGAATAGCTGAAAGTTGTGTTTTGTCATTGAATAAAGGATATTACATATTTACACATAATTATATTCAATTGCCACCTAACAGTCGTGGTGGCCCGGAGATTTAAGATAGATTTAAGACATCTCATGCATGATGGTTTGAAACCTACCAACAGCAAGAACCAATGTGACTTTTTCGAAGTTATATGTACTTTCTAAGATTATTCAGACACCACTGACAAACGGTGAAGGAAAAACATCGTAAGGAAACCTAGGCTTATAATTTCTAATTATAAGTTTGAAATCACCAACCCGCATTGAGCAAGCGTGGTGATTAATACTCAAACCTTCTCCGGGTGAGAAGAGGCTTTGCTAAGCAGTGGGCATTTATAGGCTGTTGATGAAAATCCACCTAACAAATTCAAATAAAAATAATAGTTACGTCATGTATGTAAACTTTCTCAGATTTCCACCACCAAGGAACTTAAGTAAGGGAACAAGTAAGTACGTAATAATGGGCGAGTGTCCACACACTATGTGGAACAACTAGTTTACAGAGAACTACGTTTAATTGGGACGTCTCAGTTTTAGTACTTTATACTCTATACTCCAGAGTTTAGAGTCCAGAAGTACAAGACTCAAAACTTCTTAGAGCAGAAAGTTGTCAATTTAACCCGTTACTATAACTAAGGAATGACTTGTAAAATGTTGATTATGATTAACTAAAATCGCGGGTTATTCACGTGAATATACTGAGAAAAGCTCTACTAGTTTCGAACCACAGAGGGGTTCCTCCTCACGAGCAACGTGCGCGGTCGCAGCGACGTCGCGCAGCTCACTATTATGTCTCAATAACACGTTGATTTTGTTCTAAAAATAGTTAATAGCGCAATTCAAAAAATATATCAGATCGAGAAGACAACTGGTACCTAGTTGTAAAAATTTCATTGTATGCACATGTAATCAATAAGAACAAGAACGGTCTTTCTAAACCGATGTTATTGTCCCAACAACAGCATGTTTTTAAGATAAAACAATGAAATGAAATGAAACCTTTATTTGTGATACATAGGTTAAACCTTATACCATTTGGTTGGTCATTTTTAGATTGTAGAGTGCTATGAATAGCCTATTTTAGGCATACAAATAATCGTTTAAGAGTTTAAATCAATAAGTCCATCAATTAGTTAGGTAAGTAAACATGAATTTGTCGTGTTTTAATAATAGTTTTAATGCATATATCATGATACCAACCTAACCTAAAAATACAAAAAAAAAATACAGTTAAACGATTTCTATTAAAATAATAAAGAAATAACTACAATACAATAAGAATTAAAAACACGCTGTTACCTCCAGAATGTGTAGTGGTAGCTGCGTAAATAACAGCTTGGTGGCGCGCGGAATCCGTGGCGGTCCACAGCCGGAGCGCATACCAGGCGCCGGCAGCCAGCCCACCTATCACGACCTATGTAAAACGATATACAAAATAACTGTTAGCCTATTAAACACTATTTAAATCCATTAAATACCTACATTAAAATATTTAAATATGGAACAACATCACTTCTCTGCATGAGTGCCTGATTGGTCGAGTGACCGCAAGAGGTCTCCTCGAGAAATATTCTCTGCAGCTGTAGCCAAATGCCATGTAGCGCTTGTCTACATGTAGAATAGAAAACCAAATTATATAGGATTGACGTAAATTTTAAACTAGCACTAGGCCTTTAGCCAAACGCCACTTAAGCGCTTGTCTACAGAGAGAGTAAAAATCAAAATGTATGGGGATGACACTGACAAGTGTCAAAATTTACGTCAATTCCATATATTTTGGTTTTCTATTCTACATGTAGACAATCGCTAAATGGCATTTGGCTACAGCTGCTGGTTACGTAAAATATTATAGAGATTTTCTACTCTTATTATAGAAAGCAATCATATTAGGAAAACGTCACATTCAAGACTCGATACTAGCTCAAAAATTAAAATCATCCCACAAAGAGGTACTCCACCTAACTCATTAGCGAATTAATATTAATAATACGAATATTTTAAAACTAAGCACATAATGCATCATTAAACTAGCTTGAAAAATAAAACATTACTGCATTAACTTCGTATAGAGAATTTACATTTTTCACCCAACATCTCGACTCACGAGCAACGCGTTAGTGAAGCTAAAGTAAAATTGAATTTAAAAGGAAGGAGGCTTCATTAAACTTTCACAAGTGGCTATGTAAAGTGATGTCAGGGTTATTGTCCAACTTCTTATATTAATGGACACGTTTATATAAATAAAGTGAACTCAGACTCGGGCTGCTTTTCATCCAATCTGAAGCTCTTCTTTGTGGATTTCTTTAATCTCTGTACACCAATTTTCTAAACTTATTCATTCACAAACGCGAGTGAATAGCTCCTAATATCCCGCTTGTTACCTTCGCACCTTAATCAACGACTACCTGAAGGGAAAATTCCACAATAAAGTTGTTGATATTTTGCCAAAAAAAAAGTATATTTTATTCGTCCCTTCGGATCATAACGTACGAATTTGTACGAAGCCCGAGTCTCAATTTATAAAGCTTCAATTGCCCCCCTTGTTTCCACGAAATACATAAAGGTGTAATTCACTCGATTTCCTGCTCTTTTGCGAAGGATATTTTCGTTAAATTCATTTACAGCTATCCGAACCTGGAAGTTTCTGAATTTCGTTCAATATGTCTGTGAATGTTGGCGGTACCCAAATCAATCAAATCTTTACCAAAGCGTTATTTGTTATTGACTAAAGGTTGTATAGTGTATAATTTATATATTTTTGCTTTAAAACATGAAGAACAGAGTAGGATGTTATGATGAAACATTAATCGTAACACAATCTTTGATTTGATACTCCCGGGTTTTGTCATATAGTGGGTTCCATCGAATATTTTATCGTGTTAAATAGAACAACTTAAACACAAACTTTATACTAAATATCTTACCTCCCGATGATGATGCAGTGAAGTAAGGTCAGCGTCTCTCCACGCTGCAGCTCCAGCAGCGTCAGCTCGTCTCCACTGCAGCCTCACAAGCCTGGCTCCACAACGCACAGCGCGTCTAGCGTCTAACGCTAAAGCGCTGCTGTTGCTCCAAACTGCAGCTTCAGCTCCCTCCTCGAGCCTGTCTTCCCCTCCACCTTCCCAAACTAACACTGGTAGGAAAGAAAAAAATATTTGTCTAATTGAAATTAAAATAACGGAATTAAATGACTGCAAGACTAATGTATTAAATAAACTTCCGACATACGACACGAAAATTATTTTTTTTGCGTCAAGGAACTAAGTCTGTGGAATTTGGATTCTCGTAATAAATCTCATTAATATAATTTCTCGTTATATTTTCGGATTTCTCGGATTTCGTCATCAATCAATCAATCCGTCAACCAATGGCCGAGAAAGTCCAATTACTTTCCGCTCCTTCCTTTTTACCTCATAATTCCCATAACGCTTATCAATAACTGCAATCATAAGACCAGAACCTATTCCAAATATTCTTTACACCAATCATAGGCCATCATTCAAATGACACGTAAATATCTGACAAGTAATAAGTCAGTAATACATTCGTCACTAAGTCTGATTGGCTACTATAATGGTATCGCAACGTCAATACTATAGCCTAATCTTCATAGACCCTTTGATCCTGTTACAGCGCAAAATTGCTTTCACGATAAATTCTCGGGGATAGCCCTTGTGAAATTAGCCAATGATTGGTTTTTGGCAATTTGGGGTAATTTTGTGTAAATTTTAAGCATGATTTTTGGAGGAAAAACATATTATTGATTTTTGTGATCTTTTTCTGGTTTTAGGTGTAGAATGGGAAATTTTAAACAACTCAGAATAAATAAGTGTTACCGTTGAGCGCCGTTGCCCGATTCCTGAATTATCAGGTGGCAAAGGTCTTTTTATGGGAGAAGCCGGTAAACGAGCAGACGGATCACCTGATGATAAGCAATCGGCGTCGCCCATGGACACCCGGAACACCAGAAGCGTAACAAGTGCGCTACCGGCCCTTTGAGGACCAGGAATTTGAGAACCGTTAGGGATTTAAGGATTGGGGAGATTGGGGAGGGGGTGGATAATTGAGCCTGCGGTAACCTCACACACGACGACACACAACGCAAGCGTTGTTTCACGTTGGTTTTCTGAAAGCCGTGGTATCACTCCGGTCGAGCCGACCCATTCGTCACTGAGGTATTAAGGAAGAAAGGGACGGTGACAAATGTATTCTACACTATAATCACAACACGAAATGTCACAAGTCTTTGAGTTCAATAAATGAAACAAATTATTAAGCACCATAGTGAATTATAGTTTTCAATGTTCAAAATTCCTTCTCAATAATACTACGCGAACATAAGGCGCTAGTATGTTGGCTGTTGAATATGTATTTATGATCTTGCTGTTACGTAATATAAAGACAGTTTCATATCGCGTTCAAAAAAAGGTTTCCAGTATCTTTTGAATAGACGATGACACTCGTTTAGTATGAAGTGCGAACATTGTTGACGGGCCCGATTCCGGCTTTACAACTTTTTACATTTCCTACCGTTTCACAAAACATATTCAGAGTTTGTCGCGAGGGAAAATGGCGACCAGTTTTAGTTACAATGTTTGTAGTGCATTCATTTTATTTTTTAACTTAATTGTCGAAAGACTACAATAAAAGAGTGTATTTTTTCTTTATTGAAACATGTGTTAAAGAAAGTCAGGTATCAGTGTAATTTTTGTGATTTAAAATATCAAACGACATTTAAAAATGGAAATTGGAAATTGTCAATGGAAATTGTATTCTGATGTATAAACAAGACATCAGAGCAGATGAGCTTCTCCTAAAATGGGGTGGTTACTTAATTAATAGTCAGTGACAAGTACCAATATGACTTATATGTACTTTCCAAGATTATTTAGGCACCACTGACAAACGGTGAAGGTACATATCGTGAGGAAACCTGAGCTTATAATTTCTAATTATAAGTTTGAAATCGCCAACATTGAGCAAGCGTGGTTATTAATGCTCAAACCTCCGTGTGAGAAGAGGCTTTGCTTAGCAGTGAGCATTTATAAGCTGTTGTTATATGTATGTATGTGAACAATTAAGCGTAATTTACTATTTTTTTTTTGTTATTTATTTAATAAAAAAGGTACAGGGTATGACATATCTAGTTTGAATTTTGGATCTTAAGTTCTATTCAATTTATTGTAGGCACTCTCAATGAAGTAGGTAAATACCAATCACAGATTTTTTTTCAAAGAAAACTCACAACATGACAACATTAGCACATCGTCATATTTTAAAACCTGCTCAACGCTGGAAGGTATAAATTATGAAAATGTCCTATTTCAGGAACTTAAACTACAGGAATGTAAACTTAGACTACTTCAGTAAGGTTGTAGTTTATTACTTGGACGTAAAACTTTTTATTTAAAATTTTCTAAGCATCCCATGGAGGAACGGTTAATGGTTTTTTATGTAGTACAAAATAATCAATAATGCACTTGTATCTCTCTCTCCAAGGGGTTAACCTGGAGAGGGAAGTAGGCATATAGTACTGGCAGATACTAACCGAGCCTTTAATATCCATATAACGGTTGTAAAGCAATTAATTTTCGTGTTATTTGATAACCAGAAGTGTTAAGCATAAATACAAATTGACAATTTCAGACCAATTTATAGTACGGGAGTTAGCAACGTTTGGAAAGTAAGAATTTTAGGTCAGCTGATTTATTTATTATTATATGCACAATGAAAAGTAATTTACTTTCGTAATGGTTCTCTGTATCATTCTCAACTTATTCTGCAACTGACTCTCTCGGACTACTAGCATTATACTGAAATACTTTTCATGACTTTTTCATTTTAATTCAAGACTTAACAATCGAATTAATGTCTGGCAAATTTATTTTAAGTTTTTTTTATCTTTAAATAACATAATATTAAAATTACAGACATTATAAAATACTTTGAAATTTTAATAAAAAAAAATCGCGTATGGCACAGTTAGCATTGTCAAAAATGTCTGGCAATAAAAAAAGTATTTCAGGTAGACTTATTTAAAAACAAAAAATTAAAAATTACGCCTTCTAAAATGTTTTTAAAATCCAGGATTATTACCTGGCCAGGTAGGATGCGCACTAAAAAACGCAACCGCTACCGCCAGCCAGATAGCCCAGACTCTAACCGAAATTGTAAGAAGGACGACATATCACAAAATCAGCTGCCCTAAAATTCTTTCTCGAAAACGTTGCTGGCTCCTATACTATTAAGTCAATATAAAACACGAAAACGTTATTACACAACAGGTTTTCTGTGCGGCCGCCAAGCCGGTCCATTAATTTGTGCCAAAGCATCGATCGCTCTCTTATATTCTTACGTTTATGAATTATTCCAAAAACTAACAACAAAGAAATGTATCTCGATTTAATCTTTTGAAAAGATTCAATTAGTATCGAAGTATTTTTCAATATTTTCAATTATGCAAATTGAAGTGAACTAGTTATTTTAATCTGCATAAAGTAAATGGTTCTCATTTCATAGTGACTGGACTCGGTAAACAGAAACATTGAACCTTTAAAATATGCTTGAATTGAATTTAAATTTCTTAAGTTTGTTATTTGATACTTTTTTAGTTTTAATTTAAAACTATGTAGCGTATTTGAAATGTTCAAATTGTAAAATAATGTATTTACTATGTACCTCATTAAAATTGTGACGCACTTTTTTTAAGGTTATAGAAAGAAATTGTACTTTTGAAAAAGTAGCAAAATGTCAAAGTTTCATGTTTCATGATTCATTCAGGTCTTCCAACTCAAAAATATATTAAAAACTAACTCCATATTACCATATTCATTCTTACCTGGAGGTTTAGTCTTCACCAGGAGTGGCACTGAAGGTGGTGATGACCCAGCCCTGGAGTGCGCCACAGCTCGCACAGAGTATGTGGCTCCACATGACAGAGCTCTCAACACCACACTGGACGCCTCCCCTCCTGTTTCCAACCTCCGTTCCTCTTCAGGTCGAGAGCTCATTGACTCTAAACCGTCTCCTGTGTCATCACGGACTCGAATCCACCAGATTGTGAAACCTGTTATCAAGATAATATCGTAAATTTTTTGTAAGGAAGTTTACTATATAAATTATTATGTTTTCGGCTTACACACGTAATAATTTGACCAGGAACTCGACTAGTTTCAAGCCATACTAGAGGCTCATATTCATGAGCAGCATTTCGCGACCCGCGACGCGGCGACTGTCGCGCTGCTCAGTAGCAGCGTCAAATTATTACGTGAGTAAGCCGAAAACATAATAATTTATTTAGTATTTCTCGCGAAAGTTCCAATACAAAGTTTATTATATTTTCGTTTACCATCAGAAATGATGATGACTGAGGAATTGCTTCTAAATTGTAGATAATATTGCAAGTTAGACTCATAAAATAAACAATTATCGAATGACTGTCTCGCTGGCCGAGTGGTCGCAAGTGCGACTGCCGGGCAAAGGCTCTATGGTTCGATTCCCAGGGCCGGCAAAGTATTACTGAGTTAAAAAAAATATTAGTAGTAGCACGGAGTCTAGAATTGTGCTCGGTATATGACAATAGGCTGACCCCATTTACATGGGACTCATTACATAAATAGTGAAAAGTGTGTGTTACATTGCACAGTGATATTAATTGCCGTTATGTGCACCTCTGCCTACGCTTTCGGGGATAAAAAGCGTAATGTTATGATGATGATATTTATTAATCTTTATTGACCTGGTTTTGACCTAGGTGTGTTTTAATACTAAGATGAACATTCTGTACATTTTTGGTAACCTAATATAACTGAAATACCCAAACTATATCCTATTGAACAGTCGCCCTTTATTTAGTAATTGACGAATAGTTTTTTACTTAATTGGCTTAGCTATTAGTCCTATGTAATAGGAATATTACATGGGACTAATAACATAAGTAGTGAAAAGTGTGTGTTACATTGTACAGTGGCATTAAGTGCCGTAATATGCACCTTTGCCAACCCCTTCGGTGATAAAAGGCGTGATGTTATGTTTCTTGTACACCAGTTATTCTCTTACTTCATAGGATTTTTACACTTTGTTTAACATCAATAATATTTTAAACGATAGAAATTAACAGACGATCTTTGCAAAAATGCGAAATTGGCTTTGAAATTTAATTTAAGATTGATCCATTTTGCAAAGAAATTGGTCGAAAGAACTTTTTTAAATAAAAAAGGTTTATAAGATTACATGTTATGTTTATAAAGTAACGCGAAAAGTCCCGTGTTTATAATAGCTTTGATCCATCAAAGGAAAATGTCTCAATTTATTCAAATTAGTATTTTATGGGCGTCCGCTTAAGGCATCGTTTACTGTAACATGTGTAATGAGGCAAAGTTTGATTTTATATGTGCTTGATAAAATATAAAAAGGCGTCGAATATGTAATCTTGTTTTCAAAAATTGTAGATCTATAACTTCCTACTTCTAATTGAGTGTTAATAAAATTAACAGAGTTTAAGTAACTGACAAAAGTACAATATGGCAGATTTTTTTTATAGCATAAGCCGGTAAACGAGCAAACGGATCACCTGATGGTAAGCAATCGGCGCCGCCCATGGACACTCGAAACACCAAGGCGTTACAAGTGCGTTACCGGCCTTTTGGGAATTGGGAATTTGAGGATTGTGAAGGATTCGGGGATTTGGGAGACGGGGACTAGGGAAGGGGGTAATTGGGCCTCCGGCAACCTCACTCACACGACGAAACACAACACAAGCGTTGTTTCACGTCGATTTTCTGTGAAGCAGTGGTATCACTCCGATCGAACCGGCCCATTGGTGCCGAAGCATGGCTCCCACACTTAAAAACTTTTTTCGACAAATTAACATAACTGCCTAAGTTATTAAACCTAGAAAACTTAAAACATAAAATCTATCCATGAAGCCTTCAAAACCGAAAACAAAAACTTGATCTCCATTCGAGAATTGATCTTATTACCCACACTTCAGTGGTTGAACCAGTACGGAACCAATGGGGCGTACGAAAAAGTTTCTATTTGAAAACTGGTGAAGCAAAATAGTAGAAAGCTAGCAACCTCCATGGCACTTATTTTGAACGCGAGTACTCTATTAAATTGTTTTCGATATCGCGATGTTTCGAAACTTTTCAGATTGTTTTCAATGTTCACAAATCGAAAACACGGCGAGAATACCAAGTGATCTTACCATTGTTTTTTTTATGGAATAAACCGGTAAACGAACATACGGATCACTTGATGGTAAGCAATCACCGCCGCCCATCGGGTGTCCCAAAACAACAGAGGTGTTACAAGTGCGTGGCCGGCCTTTTGGGGATTTTGAGGATTGTTGGGGATATTGAGGTGGGGGTAACTGGGCCGCCGGTAACCTCACTCACACGACGAAACAAAACGCAAGTGTTGTTTCATGTCGTTTTTCTCTGAGGCCGTGGTATCACTTCGGTCGAGCTGGCCCATTCGGCCCGATGTATGGCTCTTCTACACTTTAAAAACTTTATTTTCACCCGCTCTGCTCGGCTACTATTGATCGTAGCGGGATGTTTTACAGCTTATAGACCTGCTCGATAAATGGACTATTTAATACAAAAAGACTTATTCAAATCGGCCAAGTAGTTTAGGAGACTGGCGCGTTCAAACAAACCAACTCTTCAGCTTTATATTTCAAAAACTTATAAGATATACCTAATAGCTACTGTACCTATCTGTAAACAAGTCAATCTTTATTTTCTGACCTGCATATTGAACACATTGGTGTGTTTAACTAGTTACATAAAACGTCACTGGCAATGTCACTGAATGAGGGAGTCGATGGATGAGGAAACGACTGCTTAACACTTTAAACGCCATGGGGGTCACCGGTGACCGGTGACCGGCGGCGTTAGCGGAGGATTTGCCTTCAACAGTTTTTATTGGCAGTCAAAGTCTCACGTTAAACGCCATGGGGGTCACCGGTGACCGGCGTTAGCGGAGGATTTGCCTTCAACAGTTTTTTATTGACAGTCATTCTTAAATCGGATTGTGAATTAGTAATGTCGTTGTCTCACGGGATGACAAGCAATGACCTGGGTGGTCACACACACATGCTAAGTATATAATGTATAACAGTTGCTAGTAACTGACGTAATCACAGGGGTAATTTCCGCCAATTTTCTGTAAGACCATGATGTAAACATTTCAATGATGAAATTAAGATACGTAACTGTGTACTCTGATTTCAGCATTAATTTAAATTATTCACGTTTAGTTCCAAATATAACGTGATTGGACATCCTACGCAAACCTATTACAATACCAATCCGATTATCTGATTTAAATGGACGGGCAAAGAAATTTTATTGTTATTCCAAAGTTCTCCTCGAGTTATTTGGTTTTATACTTCCTTTTCGTTTTACGAGAATATTTCTGATTGGTACCCACGAATTACACGATTAGATGTTCCGTAAAAGTGAACCCACTTCACTATAACTAAATATACTATAATCGTTTTCGTTTTTAAAAAAACGTTGCCCCACATTAGGATTTTTTCCTGTGTCGTGGGTGCGTTTACAAACATACAAGTTCACATACACAATGACACCCAGACCCGAAACAACAATTTGTGGATCACACAAAGTGTTGTTCCGTGCGGGAATCGAACCCGCGACACGTTGCACGGCAGCTGGTTGCCCAGCCACCGCGCCAACCGTGCAGTCGCGCGGTTGTGGTGATGTCGCGCAACCTACTGACTTTGCCTGCGCCATGTAGGCTGCGTGACATCGCTGCGACCGCGCGGCGTGCTGCTCATGAGGAGGAACCCCTCTGTGGTTCGAAACTAGTAGAGCTTTTCTCAGTATTTACACGTGAGTAATCCGCAATTTTTAGTATGTACGGTAGTTATTATAAAACTATTTCACTTTATGTAAACTGTCGGCTAATAAAGAACACAAGTCTACTGTCAGAGAAACATCCTATATTAAGTGCTAACACATTTTTACTAACTCTCGAATATTAAGGAATGTGGGGACATAAATTACATTTTATTACAGAGCCGCAGGCTAGAATAAAAACTTTAGCAACATTTCATCATACATTAAATTGTAACGAAAACCAATGCAAAGATTACTCAGTTATATAACTCAGATATCAGATATATAACTTTTCAATTTACTTATTTATTTATCTTATAATTCTTATCACCATCGTTAGCCTAATGATGTCCACTATATAACACGTCGCCATAGGGGACACTGTTGACCAGCGTTGTTTGAGGAAATCAAAACTTCCACAGATTTTTGTTGGGCAGTAAAGAGGATTAACCATAATCACCAATTTTGGTAGAGTTGAGAATCGCAGATAGGTCAATAAACCATTTAAAATCATTGTAGTTTTAAAACACATCTAGGTCGGTAATTATCTAATACTAAATATGAATTTCTTTTCAAATATTCTCTCACCATGTGGTGGAGCCGCTGGGTGATGTGTAGTTCGCCAGGTTAGTCTTGCGTCAGTATGCGCGGCGTGGTCCAAGGTGAGCGTGGGAGCGGCCGGCGGCGCGGCGCACTCCACACGATACGTCACTTCTTCAGATCCAAATGTGTTTCGTGCTGAGCACGTGTAGTTACCACTTGTTGATGCGTCTACTTCTGTTAGAAAAAAATGTAATTGTTACTATATAATTTCTAGTTAACTTAAATTTTTCGGTTTTCAGTTACCCAAAGGTCTTCTATTAAACTTCAGGATTACCTAGATCTGGTGTGCAATAAAAAACAAAATAAATGTGTTTTTGTCTCTCACTTCGGAAAATACTCGCTACCTTCGCGTCTCTTTATGCCAGCTCGCCATTAGAGGTCATCTAGGGCGCCCTTTTAATTATAAAAGGTATGTCTAAAATATTGCATGTTTATATGTCAACATATTCGTCATATTTGGGACGAAATGGTTATTAAACATTTTTAGGAACGTCCCAGGACCGGTAAACATTATTGGTATGACACAAGTATTTTGAATTAGAGTTGTGTTGTCCGAGATTCAAACTATGCTGTAGTGTAAGAGTATTACCATGAATAGCCAGATGCCCATGAGGAGTAAGATGTGTCCGTGGGTCGTGGGTTACAGGACGGTCTCCTCGCAGCCACCGAGCACGTGGGGCTGGCTCACCGCGCCAAGCGCAGGCGAGACGCAACGAATGGCCACATTGGACACGTGCCCACACACCAAATGAGAGAAGTCTTGCTCGTGCTAGTGTGATAAAATAAGACAGAGATAAACGACCATTCCAAAAACAAAGTGATTGATATAAAATAATTCTAGGCATGTTTTTAACTTTAAGCAGATTTTTAGAGCTTTTCGAAAATACACGTACAATGTAAGCAACTTAAATCTTTATATTATAATTTTCGTGACACATGCTAAGTTAATTATTATGCTTAGCAGTACTAGTAGCAGCGCGACAGTCACCGCGCGGGTCGCGGAATACTGCTCATGAATATGAGTCCCTAACATGGCTTGAAACCAGTCGAGTTTCTCGTCAAATAGTTACGTGAGTACCTAATCCGAAAATATAATAAATAAACAACTTAATATCGTTTAAGATCCACACACCTCTTGATGTAGTCGTAGCCGGCTGTGGTGGTGATGGTTCTCCTTCACCAGCTACGGAATGAGCAGCAACCCATGCTTCATAGGTTGCCCCTTCAGATAATGACCTCAACTCTGTTGATCCTCCTAGACCCACGAATGGGTCACCTTCTTCGACTTGCACAGTTGTAGTTATGGGTGGTCTATCCCTAAAGAACCAATTAGGAATTGAAAATTGGAATAACGTGAAAAAAACTATGAATATGGTAGTAGAAGTGTGAAAAAGAAAAGGAATTGTGCTAACCTGCCAAGTTCTCTATAAAATACGGTGTAATATAGTAGAGGCCCATTAGGTCTACTTGGTGGTAGCCAGCTGACAGCTAAAGAGGTTACTGAAGTAGCCACTACTTTTACTGCTGCTGGCGATCCCGGAACTGTGAACAAAAATAATTATTAAATCTTAACAATAGGGTAGTTGCCTAATGTCCGTCTGGTAGATTAATTTAAAACATTAGACACGTATTTTTTTTTTAACAAAATTAAATATTTTCGACGATATATTAATCTGAAATATCGTGTGTCGTCAATATGCCCTACATTTTGTAGCACTTTGTGACGTAACGACCTCCCATCCAACGACCGACATCCCATCTAAGTATTGTAACAAGAAAATAAAAAAATACGTGTCTAAAAGTTTTTCATTATTTAACTGACGGACTAATCAGATTTTTAATTTTCATTCCCTGGCAACTACCCTATCGTTTTGTTACGCCTGACTACACCTCCTGAGTAACCTACTAAATTAAAAATGTTAACACAAAAAGTAGCTTAAAATCTTACCATCTTGTTGTGTGGTACAATGTATAGGATGAGCGGGCACGCCATCACCAGCCGCCGTATACGCAAGTGCCTGAACAGTGTAGTTAGTATGAGGCCGCAACGCTAGCAGAAGAGTTTCCACGCCCGCTACCCGCTTGACCTCCGCGCCCGCTCCCACATTGGACCCGCCGTTGCCCCGTGCGTCCCACTCCAACCACTCAGTCGCTGCCGACAAACAACTGCCATCACTCAGCTTGGATTTAAAATAAAATCTGATTACTGAGCGTTACAGCATTGTAATTGGATCGAACATTGTCAATATTTACTCACTATGTTCCGGGCGGTAAAGCAATTTGTAACCTAATAACGCGCCGTGATGAGCGTGCGCTGGCGGTGGGGACCACTCTACTTTAATACTTTGTGGCGATACCGCACGACATCTGACAGCCCGTGGACCTTCTGATGGCACTGTTAAATATGATCACTGTTAATCATTGCTCGTTATACTAAAGTAGATACTTAAATGATGAGGATTTCTGTCCGAAATATACTTGCCACTCTCTTGTGTTAAAGTATTGACGGGAGCAGTAGCAGGTCCTGCACCTGCACTGTTGAACGCTCTGACGCTCACAGAATATCTGTAAATTATTTTGGATTATAATACACAGCTGCAAAGTGAATTTTTGCTTAAAATGTTATGTTGCCTCACCGGGTATAATGTTCCAGACCTTCGATAATGTACTTTGTTATTTGTCCTCTGACAGTGGCAAACTCCATGCCTACGTTTGAACCTCCTGCTAATGTTCCATCAGCCGAAGGCCACCACCATACTGTATACCCTAGCAATTCTCCATTCCAGGATGACGATGGAGGTGCCTTGAAATACAAATTTGGATTTTATTTCTAGACACATAAGATACATAATTATCATGCTTGATTGTTTTCTTCTTACCTGCCAAGCTAGTTCAATAGTTGAAGATCTTGGAGCAGACGCTCGCAAGCTTATTGGAGCTCTTGAAGGTGGTTCATGCAACGTCAATGCAAGTAAGGCCCTTGTATGAGCTGATGCAAATTGGGCGGTCACTGTCCGAGCCCGCACTAAATACGCCGTAGCTGGTTCTAAACCAGTTATTGTCGCACTTTCTGTTCTGTTTTGGAATAAAAAATTGGCCATTAATTATACAAATTTTATTTATTTAAGAACCAGAGCTACATATATTTATCATTTTAGCTTGTTTTTTAAGGCTGAAAGTTTAGGATAACAGTTTTTAAGGGTTTTTAACTTACTCAGCATACGAATCCGGTGCGTGGGCAGAAACGGACACATTATGGGTTTCTGCATCCCTCCAAGAATCTGAGCTGGTGGAATCATGTTTACGGTATTGTACCACGTAGCCCAGCACTGGAGAATTACCATCATATGGCCTTCTCCATTGGAGGCGAACGGAACGTGATGTGGTCTCTAAGACCCTGAAGTTTGCTGGTGGTTCTGGGGGTTCTAAGAAGAAAAGTAAGACTTTTATATAATATCTGATTTTTGTAGCGAAAGGTTACCAATACTAAAGTCAAGTTTCATTGTTTTCATCACAAAAAAACCTGCTTTAAAATATGCTTACCTTGAACAGCCAGATGCACAAAATGATCAGATCTCCCATAAGGGTTGGACGCTTGACATCGATATACTCCTGAGTCTCTTCTGTCAGCTCTTTCTATTACTAATTCACTTCTTAATCCCTCTGCACTCCTAGTTTCTGATATGCTCATTCTAAAATGGATACAATAAGAAGATACTATGTATTGTTTTTTTGAGAAGTGCTTTCAATTATCCAAATATATCAGTGGATAAATTAAAAAGAAAAGGAAGGAAAAGGTTTGTTGTGTTTTTTTGTCCTACCTATAGTCTGAATTAGGTAACGCTCTTCCAGAATGACTCCAAGCGGTTGCAAGTGGGGAATCTCCACGAGCTACACAAGCCAATCTCACAGTATCCCCCAGCTTGGCAGTGACATTGGCTGATTGTGTTTCAAATCTTGCTGGTTCTAAAGAAGAAAACAACTATTTAGTAATGTACGACTTTGGTCCTAAGAAAAAGAGGACCTTATCACCATGCAAAAAAGTAAATTTTTAGTAGTAACCAAAATTTAGATTTATGTATTTCAAATTCAAAATTTAAATTTAAGCTTAAAGAAAAATTTATTGTATTTAATTACGGAAAAAACCGCGTTATCTGTCAACGAATGAAGTTGCTTTTCGGATAACACTTGCCAAGTGTCTTTTAAGGATGACATTTTATTTAGAAAATGAATTAAAACGTACCATTAACGTGTATAGTGAGAGTTTTTGATAAAGGTGGCGACACTCCATTGTCGGCTCTGCAGCGATATTTTCCAGAATGTTCCGCTCGTGCTGATTCCAACCTTAACGAGCCATTTGTTAGCACCACTGGGTCTGATACCCCACCAAGAGTAGTTTCAGTACTACCTATAAGTAGAATTAATTGTTAAAGTTGACCATTATTATAGTTGACAGAGTAACCCAAACATAACATAGTTGATTACAATAAGATACCAAATAACTGAATGTTATTAACTTATTTCACAACTTAGAAATGCCTATGACAACTATTTGATCAAAGCAGAAAAATCATATAAACATGTATATATGTATGTATTGACAGTTATGCATTATCATTTATATAGATTTTCTGTGTCACATAAATTAAACCATTATACCTATTACACCTACTGTTGCACATCTCTGCATCACCTCATGGTTGACTGTTAGAGAATGCCACCCGGCATTAAGTCCGCCATCGTATGTTTATTATACAGAAGTGTAAATAAATAAATAAATAAAATAAACTAATATAAGACAAATGTGAATCTCTGCTCTTTAGAATATTTGTAACCTCGATAAAGTGGCTCAAGACAATATGTAATTAACTGTAACTCAGGACATTTAAGAAACGTCTAACTTGTAATGTAATCGTAGACATTACGATCAAAGCAGTAGTCTAACATAAGAAACTAGACCACAGATCTATGCGTATCAGACAGTGGCGTGCAGAGGGTTTCAGAACAGGGTGGGCAACATAATATTATATTATAACATCGTCGTAAACACATGACATAATTCAAGATGTGAGGTTTTTATTCTTTCGTCAAATCTTTGTAATAGTACAGTCTCTCGTTTTAATGAAATATTTAATCAACTTATTGATTACGCCAACTTATAAAAATACTAGTATTATATTTTTCTATTTAGATTTGTAAAACTAATCTGCATAATTACCTACTCGAGGTGCTGTAAAACGTTTTATCTAATTTCTATTACCAATGAAGTGACAATAATGAATTTTTCATTATAAAAATTGTACCGAGCTGGCACTATTAGAGTAGGTAAATCTTAAGTCAATTCCTTCAAATCTTATCTTACCAGAGAACTTGGTCCAGTATATAGAAGGTGGGGGGTGACCTCTAGCCTCACAGCTCACAGTAAGTGAACCATTAAGGAGCACGGCGGTATCTGAAGGCTCTATCTGCCAGTATGGTGGAACTGAAATAAAAGGTTTAATTATCCTCCGGTCTCTAAAGGATGGCAACTGACAAAAGGCCATTGAAGCCGTTTCGAGGCTTTGTTTTGTATTGACTTTAGTTTCTGAGGAGCTAGGAAGTCATGGATTGTTTAGGTAGCTGTTAGTGTATATACCTAGACTTGCACATTATATAAAGTTACGATTTTGTTCATTTAAATTTAACAAAAAAGATATAAAGAAAACGCAAAGGTTCAGTCGTTTACTTTTGTTGATAATACATTTTACCATTTGAATTTAATATCACACCGTTATTGATTTAAAAAATCGAACCTTTTCTCGACATCTATCCCAAAACATAAAATATGAAGTTATGTTAAACGGAAACAATAGCTTAGTTATCCAAAAGTATAATAGGAACAATGAGTAAGCTTTTATACGGCAACGTTGAGCAGAATTTGCTTATCTTGACGAGGGTCCACGCAATTTACCTTTGATGGCCAATTCAGCGGACATGTTGGCTTTCCCAGCAGTATTGGTGACGACACACGTGTATATTCCACTGTGGGCTGCAGTCAAACTCTTGAATAGGAGCATGCTATAAAATTCTGCACCTCGTTCATCAACCTGCAATTTTGGATGTCGCTGTAGACATAAAATATTGCTCTCTTCGATAAAAGTAACCTCTTGTAGAAAGGGTTTGTTATGTTGTAATACTTCACTTTAAAATAAAATGGGGATGAACCTATTATGATGCACCCTATAAACATCTCTGATCTTGGTGTGGTTACATAACATACATACATTATAATTTCATCGATGCACAATTGCACATACATTTTGTTACTTTAGTAAACATACCTACTAAAATAGAAACAATATCCATCTGGACCCACCTGAAGAGCACTGGAGATGGGCATTTGATCCTTCAACCAGGAGAAGTAGACAGGCATGTCTCCCGATGTCACAGTACACGTCAATTGTGAACGATCTCCAGCTCTTAGTCCGGGAGGGAACACGATGGGAGACAGCACTGGCGGTGACACTACTGTCATTTGTACCTAGGACAAAAATTGATTAAGTAGAAATAAAAATTTCTACAATGGGTACGAATCTACGAATAAGTTGACTGCAGGGTTACTGCACGGTACATTTTTTTACAACATCATCAGCCTATAAATGTCCACTGCTGAGCAAAGCCGCTTCTTAAACGGATAATGTTTGAGCATTATTCACCACCCTTGCTCAATGCAGGTTGGCGATTACAAACTTATAATTACAAATTATAAGCCCATGTTTCCTAATGATGTTTTCCTTCACCGTTGTCAGTGGTATCTAAATAATCTTAGATAGTACATATAACTCGGAAAAAGTCACATTGGTACTTGCTATCGGTAGGTTTGGAACCCGCACCCTCATGCACGAGAATCGGGCGACTTGGACCTCCGGGCCACTACGACACAATTCTTTGCATGCTGGATATATATAGCCAGGCATTACTAGCCACGATGGTCAGATTATTACAAAATGTTGTTCCATTGTCATTTGACTTTACTAATAAATACGAACGAGAGGCATAATAATTAATTACCTATTAAAAAAGTTGATCCAATTCATAATTCCATTCAATGTCCAAAACTGAAAATCTAAACTAAAACACTGACTTCATCTGAAGCGTTTTCTACCACAAAACCGTCATGACAGTGTCTTAATCTACCTCTATACATATATGATAAAATCGTAGAAAAGTCAAAACTGTACATTGAATATTGTTTAAAAAGAATACTTGTGGCGTGAATTACAATCGATACCCAAGCCAAAAGTACGGTATTTAGAATTTTTGTGTTTGTCTGTCTGTATGTATGTCCGGGATGATCTCCAAAAGTACTGCATGGATTTACTTCAAATTTTGCATGAATATTACTAACAGGTCAAGTCAACATATAGGCTACATATTATCACGCTATCTACGGGGTAGGAGCTGTGAATCACAATCCCATGCGAACTAAGTCGTGGGCAACAGCTAGTTATAGCTTTAATCTTAAAGATAAACTAATCGATTGTTCTAGTCAAATATAAATCCTTTGAAAGCATTAATATAGACAATAGAAGTTTGTTTACAAGCCAAAGTTTTGGCGAAGTTTGAACAGTGTTGTTTGGAAGTTAGGAAGTAGACGATAAGTATTTTCAGAGGAAGAAATTTCACAATCACGGTAAAGGTAAATAAAATTAAATATACTCTGATTATTTCTTTAATCTTGGTCTTTAATATTCGGTACTTGATTATGTATGTAACCTATATATATATAAAATGAAACCCGTTTCCCGTTGTCAAGCCATAACTTGAGAACGGCTGATTTTTTTTGTTGTGTTTTTTATCGTCAGGTGAAGGTTCTTATGACAGAAAAAAGTCCTTAAAATCCTACAAGAATGGGAGAAACGGTATAGCGTGTACAAAGTCGCGGGCAGAAGCTATTGTAGTGATAAAAAATGGATGAAATTAAAAAATACAGCCGTCAGTCGAATGTGTAATACTGAACAAAACATTGGTGAATAAAATTATCACCATTCAAGTTAAAACTTAATACTAGCCTGACTAGACTAAGATAGTAAACTTTCACCGTAGCCTTTGTCCACCTACAATACCAGACGGGTTACTGACGTCATTTTCATCATTTTCTAATTCATGGTAATATTATATATCATGATATATAACCAGAAACAAACAGACAAACATAAGTACCACAACAATTTCTTTTTTAAAGAATCCTTTAGAACCTTTTGGAAAACCGTACTAAAAATATCAATTTCGTTACGACATATCGTTATAAGGTACACAAGTAATAATAATACCAATAAGGATAACGGAAAAACGTTGGATAAAAATACCCATATAACAAGAAGATTCAGCGTAATAAAATAAGTGAAGTATAAAATGAGATGTAGTAAGTTCATCCCCCAAGATAAGTGGGTCGAGTCTCATGTAGGACACAGACGAACAACTTTTTAGTGACCACGTCCGGCGATTTTGTTGCTCCTTAAATGTTACACAATAAATTGCAACACATTATACGTAAATTATTGTTACACTGAAAATAGTAATATAATAGCAATTTAAGTTTGGGAGAGCCATGCTTCGACACGAATAGGCCGACTCCACCGGAGTGATACTACGGCCTCACAGAAAACCGACGTAAAACAACGCTTACGTTGTGTTTCGTCGTGTGAGTGAGATTACTGGAAGCCCAATTACCCCTACTCCCCAGTCTCCCCAATCCCTGAATTCTCCAAAACTTCAAATTCCCAATTCCCAAAAGGCCGGTAACGCACTTGTAACGCCTTGGTGTTTCCGGTGTCTATAGGCGGCGATGATTGCTTACCATTAGGTGATCCGTCTGCTCGTATACCGGCTTACGCAATAAAAAATACACTATAAACTATAATTTAGTAGTGTCCTATCTTTCCATGTTACTCCTAGTATGCAAAGAATCCTTACTAAAATATCAATAGAGTCACTAGTTTGTCTAATTATAGCTATGATCGGCTTAAAGCAATTAAAATAAAAGTTTCTACTTTACTAAATGAACTAGTTAATATATTATGTTTGACAGGTTGTGCTAGTTAATATATTATGTTTGACCCTGTGTTTGATATTAACGAGATTCAGTTGAGAAAAAGTCCCGAATAGACAAGCAACTCTTTAGTATTGACGCCCGACGATTTAGCGACCTGGCAACTTAAATGTTGCTGATCGCCAATGTAGACCGCCGCCGATGTTAAAGTAGCATGTCTAGTCTAAACTTTGCACAAAGTTCGCAGAAAATGATTGAAAGTGAACAATGAATATTTTATGGTGCCCGTATTTTACTGGATAATACGTAAAATAGTTTTAAAGCGTAATAAAATACGGTACCATGATAATATAAAATGGTTACCATAACGTTGTCGCCATTTATACGTCCTATTTTACCAAGTGTAATGTAAGAAGTACACTAAACTTAATGGTCGTTAAGTATTTGTAATAAAGATTCAAGTCAAGTTATTCAGACTTTTGTAAACCATTTGTCTTTACGCGGGTAATGCAATAACTATCAAGGACTAGCTACTACTAGATTCACTCGATCTGCTCGGCTCCTATTGGTCGTAGCATAATGTTTCATAGTACATAACCTTCATCGATAAATGGACTATCCAATACAAAACAAAATCAAATTGGACTAGTAGTTCCTGAAAGTAGCGCGTTCAAACAAACAAACAAACAAACCCTTCAGCTTAATTATAAGATTATAATAAAAGTATAGAAATAATAATAAACTACTAAAATAAGATTAGAACTAGAAAATTGATAGTTACTGCTACTAAACCTACGATAGTTATACTAGCAACCAATCAAATTATTAAAACAAAATATAGATCTAAAAACAAAACACTGAAAAAGCATTGCTTTCAAACATTTTAAAAACCCTATCCATATTCTAAAACCTATTCTTTTTAAGGTTGCTTTTAAAACGTGGACTTTATTACTTAAAGAATAAAGATGTTATCAAAAACCTCTTTGAACAATAGCGTCTACATTTTTAAAACTACCTAACTTAAATAATTAAAATAGTTACCTCTCTTCTAGCCAGTTCCCCTCCCGGTGTGAGGACAGAGCAGGTCCAGCTTCCTTTGTCCCTGTTCCGATCCACGTTGGTGATCGTGAGCTGTCCATCCATCTGCTGGTACCGAGGGTCGGTGCCCGCCCCACCTTCCCATTTCACCGAACTAGTTGGAAAAAAATAAATTAATACCGCTTTTGACTGTACTGCTGTTGATTTAGTGGTACAAAGCCGTGTGCGATTCCCGAGTAACGGGTCGTGAAAAAAATGATATAGTAGTTTTTCGGTTTTTCGTTAAATTATCGGTTATAGCACTAATGTCGGAATACTGAAATGTTACTCAATTTTAAGTCGCGTTTAAGTATAGTTCTGTCACTACAAATTCTTTGTGAAATGACAGAGATGGCACGATATTTGAGCACGACTTAAAATTGAGTAACGTTTCAGTATTCAGGCATAAGCACCATAGATTTGATTGAAGATACGTTATGTCATATTGTTAAAATAGAAATAGCTGGCCATTCTGGTGTATATATCGAGTACTACCTACTTTTGTAACACGGTTTACTGCATGTGTGTTATACGTATGTATTACGTGGACGTCGCCTCGAGTCATATTTCAGGTATTAAAGCGAAATTGCAGCTTGATCGAATTATATCTGTTCGAGATTGTAAAATCGAAGATTTCTCCAGGGTACAATGCAAGGCGAGTTGCCTATAGTTCGAGTTGTTCGAGGATAAAATTCTAAACAGACATATTCATATACATATATGATATCTTCTACAAACAAATTACCCAGTGATAAATTAAGTTGGGTAACCATGAATTGTGTTATGAACCTGATTGAAAAAGCTATGGAAATTCTTGTTTGTTCTTCTCCATAGAAACCTGCATTTTGGAATTAGCAAATAGTTTTACAAGAGGACTGACTTATAGACTGAAATTTTTAATATTTTGTTTGACTTTCAAAAATCCTCTCTGGGCTAATTGAGAAAATATTTTTGACGTTTACTTTGATAATATTTGGTATTATAAATAATATAACAAAATAAAACGACATAAGAAATACGAGATGACAATAAATCCTTCTCTGGCCGTACACCTTGAGAAAAGAAAAAAAATAAAAGAATACTTAAATACTTCTGTGACAAATTGCAGAGTACAGAACTAACACAAACCTAGCTCTTCAATACACAACAGACGTAATATGAAACCCAATATAATACAAGCTAACTCCATCTTATACAAAGTCAACTACATAATATATAAAAACAAAAATATTCGAAGTCCGCCGCGAGTAATCATAATATCAAGTAGATGTGGTCGCGACCCGAGCTCGTCCAATAATATTCCGTGCCTCGCCTTTCAATGTGGCCCATACATTTTGTAAGAAGCCAATGTTGTAAGTGAAATTTTATGAGCACCTGGATAAAACACTTTTGCTATTTGATTGGATGGTTCATTTTTGCTTGAAACTTTGTCTTCTGAGTTCTTTTTATCATGGACAAAGGCAGCTTTGATTTTACAATGCTTTGAAAGTTTATTAACCAACTTAAAAAAAGAAGGTTCTTAGGTTCACCTGTATGTATGTGTTTATATTTTTGAGCGATTAACTCGCGATTGGGTGAACCGATTTTGATGTGGTTTTCAAAAAAAGTGTTTGTTACACTTAGGAGAAAAAGAGACTTCAAAGAAGAGGGTTAAAGTTAGTTTTTTTATCGTAGTTTAGAATTTTTTACATTTCTTGACTGCTGAACGTAAAAACTAAGAGTTTTACAAATCATTATCTAAAGAACTGCCTCGTTGGCCGAGTGGTCGCAAGTGCGACTGCCGGGCAAGGGGTCTCGGGTTCGATTCCCGGGTCGGGCAAAGTATTACTGGGTTTTTTAAAATCTCAGTAGTAGCACGGAGTCTGGAATTGTGCCCGGTATATGGCAATAGGCTCACCCCCTATTACATGGGACTCATAACATAAATAGTGAAAAGTGGGTGTTACATTGTACAGTGGCATTAAGTGCCGTAATGTGCACCTCTGCCTACCCCTTCGAGGATAAAAAGGCGTGATGTTATGTTATGTTATCTAAAGAACCAGTTACGCTTACGAGTCTACACGTGTCTTCTTAATCGAACTATCTATACCCTAAATAAATAATAAGACCGTTCAATAAAAGCACTTAGGCGTTGTTAGGTAACGTATTATTGAAGTGTACTCACTCTATTGGGAAGCCGTAGTAAGGACACCAAATGGTCACTTCAGACCCCGCAACAGCTTTCACAAGGCTCATGGCCCTGATGTACGGGGGACCTATGTAAATCCGATAATAATATTTACTCAACAATCCGTAAAATAATATTTATCTCTATTTACTTAGGATGGAAACAAACATAAAATGTGTAAATAAGAATACTGCGGTAAGCAAAAATTACAATTTATGGCGGCACAAGTATAATAAGATTTGAGTGTTGTTTTGTTTATTCTGAACTTTTATACCGCACTTCTTCAATGTAGGAATGATCGTAAATAAAATAATAGCAAGGCCTGGGATGGTTTATGTTACATATTTTATTGTTACAATAAAATAAATTGATTTGTGGACATTTATTTCGGAATTGCTCAGTCCTAATGTGCGTAGCACTTAGCTTAATGTTAGATGATCTATATAAATCTTCGTTGAAAAGGTTACAACCAAATATATATATTTTTTTTTATACCACGACGCGACGGTGGCAACAAAAGCACACAGCCCACCTGACGGTAACTGGTTAGCGCGGCCTATGAACGCTTGCAACACTTTGGAATTGAATCATATTCTCTATCTCTTTTGTTCAAATTAACAAAGCAAATAGTCAATTTAGTAATTAATAATTTATCCATAAATCAATATTAATTTTAAAAATGTAATAAAATACTTTGCTGTTGTTAGCTTTTGACGGCAAACGCTTCGCTTTCGTAGGTCGCCAGTGACCGAGTAATATAATATTATAGAAATAATAGTTATGTAACAGACATATTTTAAAATCATTTTATTGAAATACATACCATAAACATTGAGTCTTGCAGCATGAGCGACGCTACCATGCGTGTTGGTAGCCCTGCACTCGTACCGGCCGCCATGTTCAACTCTTGCACTGCTCACCGATAGGGTTGACAACACGTAGTTATTCCCAGACCCCAGCCCCGTGGGACTGCTCTCCCGTCCCTCCGTTATTACAGCCCTGCGATCGAATATCGTCAAATATGATATACAAGGTGTTACGGAAAGGCTTCTTTGAATATTAACATTATATTGAAAAATCCTACGTAGGTATGTCTATGCGTGGTCGAAACATAAAACAATATTCATCGATATCAGAAACTAAACTTTCCAAATAGGGTAGATGCCTAATTTTTATTTTAATGTCCGTCTGGTAGATTATTTTAAATCATTAGACAGGTATTTTTATTTTCTTACAGAAACGTATACTTTCGACGATATATTGATTTGAAATGTCGCGTGACGTCACTTCTATATACATTTTATACGTAGAAATTACGTTTTAGCCCCCACTCCTATACTTTGATTCGTTTTATCTAAGTATTGTTTTATTATACGATACAATAATAAAATACGTGTCTAATATTTTTTCATTACAGTTACGGACTAATTATATTTTTAATCCTAATTGTCGGTGTCAACAAACTATTGACTTGTTTTTAAATTAAAAAAAAAATGAAATCTAAGATGAGAAAAATGAAATCTAAGATGAAATCAATTTAAGACTGGGTACTTTTTATTTTCAGTGTATAATGATCATCGTATAGGTACCAATTATAAGATCCATGAAGTCATGAAGTAGAAAGCTTTTACTACGACTTTTTAGTGCTAAGGGTAGGGTATGGTTTTCACTACGCCCTGTATCAAAGCATCACGTATCAGATTTTTGTCAATCATAAAACGTAAGGACGGTGTGGATAGTCAATTTAGAAGTTTCGATTTTCATTTATTTAGTAGCGTGATAAGGTAAATATTGAAAAAAGTCGTTATTATTATTAGACGGGCCATGAATGATAAGCGATTACCCTTTGAGAATAGGTTCCATGAATTATTTTTATAGAAAAGCTCTACTAGTTTCGAACCAGGCGATTAGGGTGCGCGACATCGCCGTGACCGCGCACGCTGCTCATGAGGAAGAACCCCTCCGTGATTCGAAACTAGTAGAGCTTTTCTCAGTATATTCACGTGAGTAACCCGCGATTTTTAGTTCATTTAGGTTCCATGAAAACCTTAACACAGTGTTTTCTTTACGACTTTATCATCATGGTATTACAGTTTGTTAACGGTACTATAAAACTGCTATAATATCAACAAACTAGGGTAGGTCACTACAAATGTAACGTACACTCTGTAATTATTATATATGCCTAATATTTCATATCAAGTATTGACATTACTTAACCATGTGCATTTTGGCTATTTTAATTCGTATTTTAATCGTTTGGTGCGTCCAAACGCAAAATCCTATCATTTTTAAGTGTTTTTACAGCAACTAATGTAAAAACATTTTCAAAAAAGTAGTGGTTGCTTTAATAAAACATATTAAACTTCTACTTTATTTCTGATTAGGAATAAAATTGATTAAACACCAATTCAATGTATCATCATTTATCTCTTTAAATAGTTCCCAACACTTACCCGTGATGACTAGGTATGGGCTGGCCATCCAGTGACCATCGAAATCGAGGAGGTGGTTCACCAACAGCTGAGCATTTCAACGCAACCTGAGACCCAGGCTGCACAGCCTGTTCAATGAACGTGTACACCAGCTCCGGTCGAGAATCTGTGTAAAAAGGTTGAATAAGTTTTTTTTTAATTGCGTTCCATGAATAAAATGCCTTTTTCTTTGTTACATATCACCAGTAACATTAGGAATGTTAAAAGTGTATAGCTGATTTAAAAAAAAACGTAGGTACATACTTTTAAGCACTTTGATCACACTGAGAAGGAATTGTATTTCGAGCATTGAATACCACGTTTGCACCTTCACCTGGGTGATCTCAAATTCATATTTTAAATTGATTTATCATATCTTTTCTTCTGAAGAATCAATTCTACATCTTAACGCACACATCTTAAGAACTATAATAACATGCCCACTAGCTACTCTATCTTCGTATTAGAAACTGGAACGTGCCACAATATACGTACAAAAGTAAAAAAAGGTCAGAAACATACCTGGAGAACGTTTTAACCGTTTTCGTTTGAACGAACGAACCACGCCTGCTTCCCGCACTAACGAGCACCGAGTAACTGAAATATATAAACTAGATGAATGTTGTGTAATGCAAAAATACAATGCTTTATTTAAGTTTTCTTGTTTCTTTGAAATGAAGTGTAAGTATACGTTAGTGAGGTTGAAACTTGATTTGATTGTTAAAATTTGCACAGGTTTGTTGAAATGTTTTAACAGTAAATCTTGGTTTTGATTAGTTTCAAATACTGGTAGTTATTTTCAGAAGATGATGGTCGTAATTATTTAATTTAAAAAAGTATCTCAGGACGAACGTAAACAATAGGGTAGTTTCTAGGGTAAGAAAATTAAAAATCTAATTAGTCCGTTAGTTAGATAATGAAAAAATGTTAGACACGTTTTTTTTATTTTTTCGTATAAAGTTACAATACTTATATAAAATGGAATTATGTTTAGAAGTGGGAGGTAGTTACGTCACAGCATGCTACAAAATGTAGCACGCTGTGACGTCACACGACATTTCAAATCAATATATCGTCGAAAACATTTAATTTTGTGAAAAAAGAAAAAATATGTGTATAATGTTTTAAAATAATCTACGAGACGGATATTAAAATAAAATTTAGGAAACTACCCTATTCGGATATTTGTAAGTAATTAAAAAATAGCACGCATTATTGTATTGTTACAAGACGTTAAATAATGTTTAATTATTTGCACCATATTTTATGCTGAGCACCAATTTGTTTTGAACAAACGGAGCTAGCAAATAACAAAAGAATCACTAATTTTTCTTTTCCTAACATCTTTAACCAAACAAAACCTTTATTTTCACACATAATTTTTCACACATTTTTTTTTTCACACATAATTAATATGTAATGTTCTTTATATCCTGTGTTCAACTTACCATATTTTTTCCATATGTTTTATTATTTAATCTTGTGGATATCAGTTAGCCTCCTCTACCCACAACTCTCGTAATTATTTGTTCTTTTGTTTCGTTTTAATGACTTTTAATTTTATTACTTCTATTAATTTACTTTAAAATAATGTGGGTTGTTGTATTAATTGTATTTTGACTTTTGAGCTGTCAATTAATCTGAACAAATCTATCCTGTCACTGTCACTCTGTCCGCTGTCAACTCGACAGTGAACGGCTGCGTTCAGAAACAAAAATTTTTTTTTCTTGTCATTATTATTTTTATTTTCTTTTAACCATAGATTACGTTTTAATGTTTGATTTTTTTTATACATGCACTTTGTTTTGTTTTCATGTACCCTGAATTTTGTTTTGTTTTGATGTTGGCTGGCGGGTGGTGCAGAGCTGCACGTGAGTAGTAACTGGCATCTACTGTGGTATTTATCATAAAATTTACATACATAATTATTATATTTATATATTTTTGTATTTTATTATTTTATATATATTTATGACATGTCTGATATTGATTCTTTTGCGTCTGCGTCTGATGATGGTTCCTCTAGTTGTAGTTTTTGCTCTTTTGGTGACACTCTGGGTGACTTCCTTCAAAACCAGTTTTCTGCCAAGAATAACCGTCTGTTAAATGTTTGTCATATTAATGCTCAGAGTGTTCCCAGTCACTACAGCGACCTCTACGAAGCGTTTAATAATAGCAATGTGCATGCCGTCCTGATATCCGAAACCTGGCTCAAACCTCATCTCTTATCTACCACCTACCCCTTAGCCGGATATGTGCTCATCCGGAATGACCGCATTAACGGTAGAGGGGGGGGCGTGGCCATTTACCTTCGTGGTGAATTACCTTACAGAATTATTTCATCATCTCCCCAAAACTGTCCTGCAGAGTACTTGCTACTTGAGGTTTGTGTCCAGGGGGTGAAAATCGTTATTGGTGTATTTTACTGTCCGCCCTCAGTCGACTATTTCACTGAATTCGAATCAGTACTAGAATCTCTGGGTTCTGAGTATGCACATCACGTAATCATGGGTGATTTCAACACCAATCTCCTTGTCCACAACTCCTTTCGTTCCTGTAGGCTTCGGCATCTGATCGAGTCAGCCTGTCTTCATCTACTACCTCTCCAACCCACTCATCACAACACTGTCGGTGAGGACTCATGGCTCGATCTGATAGTCACGTCCAATCCCTCACTAGTTTTTCTCATGGTCAACATGAGGCTCCCGGATTCTCTCACCATGACCTGATCTTCCTGTCCTATATCCTGAGGCCACCCAGGGTGAGGCCTAGGGTTCTGTTCAGGCGTTGTTTTGCACGGATGGATAGTGAAAAACTTAGAGAGGATGCATCGAGTATTGATTGGGGGCCCCTGATGGAGGCTGCAGATGTCGATACCATGGTCGCTGTTTTCAACAAAACTTTGACTGAGCTCTATGACCGCCATGCTCCCGTGAAGAAAATTAAATTAAAACGGCCTCCCGCACCTTGGATGACCAGATACATACAGATGGCAATGCGACGCAGAGACCGCGCGTTCCGAAAGCACAAAAATGATCGCACTGTCGAGAACTGGGCGGCCTATAAAAACGCTCGAAATAGGTGTAACCAGATGGTACGTAACGCTAAACGCCGACATATTCTAGATAACATCTCTTCATCTCCTGCCGATATCTGGAAATTCCTCGGGACTCTAGGTATCGGCAAATCACAACACACTGACCTCCCAAATTCTGTTGGTTTAAATGATCTGAACCGACATTTCTCCACTGTGTCCAAATTGGATCCTCTTGCTAAACAGCAAACTTTATCTTTTATTTCTGCTCTGATGCGTTCGTCTTCTTTAACTTCTTTCAGATTCACACCGGTGCAGCCTGAAGAGATCCGAAAGATCATCCTCTCCATTAAATCCAGGGCGGTGGGTTGTGACGGTATATCGCGGTATATGGTCACAACCATACTCGATCTTCTCCTCCCAACCATAACTCACATGGTTAACTATTCCCTGTACTCCAAAGTCTTCCCATCCTTGTGGCGTAAAGCCTATGTCCGTCCTCTTCCTAAGATAACCAATCCTACTCTTCCCACACACTTCCGTCCTATATCAATTCTTCCCTTCCTGTCAAAGGTGCTCGAGGCCTGTGTCCATAAGCAACTTGCTGACTACATATACAGTAACTCGCTTATAAGTCCATTGCAATCCGGATTCAGGCCCGGGCACAGTACTGTAACCGCTCTCCTTAAAGTGATTGGCGATGTGAAGGCAGGGATGGAGGACACCAGGATCACAGTATTGGTTTTGGTGGACTTTTCGAATGCCTTCAACGTGGTCAATCACGACATTTTGCTAGCTATCCTATCCCATCTTTCGGTCTCTGATGGTGCGCTGGATTGGTTTTCATCTTATCTTCAGGAACGTCAGCAATTGGTCCAGGTTGGTGAGGCTTCGTCGAACTGGTGCCATTTAGAAGCTGGGGTTCCTCAAGGCGGAATTCTCTCTCCTCTTCTATTCTCCATCTTCATAAACCTTATCACTTCCGAACTTCAGTGTGCGTACCATCTGTATGCCGACGACCTGCAATTGTACTGTCAAGTCAAGATTGAGGACTTACCTGATGCAGTTGCGAAGGTGAACGCGGACTTGACTGCCATATCTAACTGGTCTGGGAAATTTGGCATTAATGTCAACCCGAGCAAGTGTCAGGCGATAATAGTAGGTAGCTCCCGCACTTTGTGCAAGGTTAACAGTGCAACGGTACCGCCAGTCCGGTTTGACGGTGCGGTCATTCCATTTAGTGGTGATGTCAAAAATCTTGGGTTGCACATCGACGGCAACTTAACCTGGCGTGCTCATGTTACTAGTGTCTGTCAGCGAGTCACGGGGACGTTGCGAGCCCTGTATCGGTTAAAAAACTTCCTTCCGTCGTCGACCAAGGCGATGCTTGTTCAGTCCTTGGTTTTTCCCATAATTGATTACGCTGATGTGTGTTACTACGACCTGAATGCAGATCTCCTCAATAAACTTGACCGCCTTCTAAATAACTGCATTCGATTCGTTTTTAACCTGCGTAAATACGACCATGTCTCTGCATATCGGTTGCAACTAAAGTGGTTGCCCATACGTCAACGCAGGAAACAACGGGCGTTAACCACTTTATTCTCTCTTCTTAATTCCCCCACTTCTCCTAGCTATCTATCCTCCTATTTTCAGTTCATAAGTGCAAACCACAGCAAGTATCTTCGTTCCACTAATAATCTTCTTCTACAATGTCCCACACACCGTACCGACTTCCTTCACTCTTCATTCTTTGTCCAATCCATTCTGCTGTGGAATGCGCTGCCCACGGATGTCAGGACGGCAACCAGCCGGCTTAGTTTTAAAGTTAAGGTTCGTGAGCTATTGCAGAGGGAACAGACAGACGCATCACGTACTTAATTTATCATTTTGGCGATTGTATTTAATATATATGTATATAAATATATATTATATGTAGTTTTATTCCCAATTTATTTATTTACTTTTATAGTATTGTTATCTAGTAATATTGATAATGTATCTTATGTAATTTATATTATACCTATATATTATACGGATATATGTATGTATTTACAGTTATGTATAATCATGAATTTATTTATATAGATTTTTCTGTGTCACATAAACCATTATACCTATACGCCTACTGTTGCACATCTCTGCATCACCCCATGGTTGACTGTTAGAGAATGCCACCCGGCATTAAGTCCGCCATCGTATGTTTGCTATACAGAAGTGTTAATAAATAAATAAATAATTAAACAAATTTATAAACCCTGAACAGCAATAAAGGACAATTGTCATTACACAGGGCAATTAAGGTAATATTTGTGCAAAATTGTGCAAATAATGGCATAATTGTGCAAACACAGACATAGCTTTGTTGCTCCCTAGAGGGCGCCTCGTGTTACATCCGACCACGATTCTCCTACTAGTGTATCGTCACGGTTGTTGCGTTAAACAGAGTGAGCAGATGTAGTAGATTTAGTGTTTTAATTACCTAATTAATCTTTTGGTCTGTTTCGGAGTTGCTTGGTTTGCTCTGAACGTGAAAATTTTTTGTATTTTTATTTATTTACGC